GTTAACCTGGCATATACCAATTGCCATTTGTGAGTAATAGTGTGGTGACAACATTACAATGATAAGAACAATGCATGCATATGCCTTGGGGGGGGGGATCGTCAATTCGGTGAATTCTTATGGGCTATGGCCCTCATGGGAGACTCCACAGATAAACAAACACTCTTACAAATATTGAATTTTACGTGTAAATCCTTTAAACTAAATAAACACAAACGACCCCACTAAAATATAAAGTAACAATAATCGATCCCACAGTATATAAATTTTTGCTTTGCTACTATTTCAGAATACGACAACGTCAAGGAGAGCAAGGGTGAATTCATCTTATTGTGAACATGATCCGTCAGAATTCATCATAGTGATCGAGATGCAAATAGCTAGTGTATTGGTAAGGAGTGTGTGTGGTATCAACCCAAGATTCTATGTTTACTTTTTTAACACACATATTATTTCTTCTACTTATTTAATAATCAAGTCCCTTCTTGGTAGTCCTCCTCGATCTCTCTCTCTTTCACAGAATTCATGGAAAGGGTCGTATATTTTTTCGCGCTTTTCCGTTGCTTGACCAACGATAAAAAGTTGCTACGTGGAGCCGTGACCAACCGTGAGTTCTTTCTTACCCTTTCAGAACACCTCTCCGTTCACAAATTTATGTATTTATAGACTATAAAGATTAAGAATGAAGGGGAAATGAACGGAAAGAGTACTACTACTTAAATTGGGAGTGCCTTAGGTTGCATTCATCAAATTAATTATTAACTAGTAATAGGAATATATTATATTCATTTGGGGGGTGCATTTGGTTTAGAAGAAGTTGCAGTCTGCAGATTGGGTGTAGACATCAGCATAGACCTTGCTACAGTGTCTTTCAGAGTTTCAGTTGGCTACTCTACCTGAGCTGTCGAACAGGGTTTCTGACGTTCATGTGGAGTATGGTTATGATTCGCAATATAATGTGCTACAGCATTACAGCAATACGGCATGCATGCCTTAAAAAAAGTATAGTACTACGGCATCATGCATTAGACAAAGACAAGACCTCGTGTTTGAGTGATTCATATCGATTGGATGGTTTAAAAATCTACTACGAAATGGATATAAAATTCTTAAACCTATTGGTTGTGGCCAGTCCAGCGTGGAGGCTCCCTGCGCATATGCATGCATGCTAGTAAAATTTGTCTATTGATTGATCTGGACGTTACAGTAATTTTATCCACAGTTTGAACCTTACACAGCTTATTTATTCTTTATATATTCCGATGGAACGAGCTCAAATGAACTAGTACTTTTCTTGTTCAACAGAGAGAGATCGAAAGAGAGAAACTAGGATGAACCAGGCTGAAAAAAAAAACCTAATCCGCACTTCTTTATTTTGGGACTAATGGACCTTACGTCATCGTGCGATGCCAGATGAAAGAGAGAAAGTCAATCTTTAGTCCCTCGACTATCACTCGAATCTAATCCACATACCTTAATTAACGATAAAACTGGGTGTATCGTCCCCTTCAACTATCAAAACTGGCTTATTTTACCTTTCCGAGTGATTTTGAAGGTGGTTTTATCCGGTGTGACGGTTACATGGCATTAGGTCAGTGTTTTTATCTGATGATTTTGATCTACTTGCGCTAGCACACGGTGCTTATGCTGCATAAAAAATAAAATCACTACTGCCACCTTATCCCTCCCTCTCCTCATCTCTCTCTCTCTCCCGCTGTCACATTGGGAACAGTGTGGCCCAACGCGCGACGCGACAGACAATAGCACAACGACAGTGGCAACGCCGAGCAAATCCAAGTGATTAGGAAAGTGCTTGGGAAAACAATGGCGGAGAGGTGGTAGGAAGAAGGACATGGGATGGGAAAAAGCCAAGGTCAGAGGCGAACCTAGCCTTTTTGTCGTGAGAAGCCCGATAGCAGTGAGAGTATGAAACTTGGAGGCCGCGATGATGACAAGGGCCTCGGAGAGCTATGCTTGGATGAGGGGCGATGCGGTAAGGAGGAGCTATACGTAGTCAAAGAGTGGGAACTGGGAAGTGGTGGTTAGCGTCGTCACTGTAGAGGGAGGGCTTGGGCCAATGACGCCGGAGGAAATTCTTAATATGGACAAGTTGTGGCATGAGGAGGGGCAATGGCGAGCAGTTCTAGCAAGAAGCCTTAGAAGCACACGGTGAATACTAGGCTCTGATCAGTGGCGAGATGTACGGTGGCGTTGGGGGAGAGCTACTTAGCGAACCATTCCACCAAAGTATCGAGCATCTTTAGCGCCACCTCCATTCCTACCACCAAGGTTGATAGAAGGCAACTGCATTTTGATTGAACCAAGGAGATGGGGAGAGGAGTTAGAGTGCCATTAAGAGAGAGAGAGAGAGAGGAATGGTGAAGAGGATGAGAGGTAGTCACTTACATGTGTCCCCCATTTCAACCTTTTCATTTCTTGAAGAGAGAATAGCTAATGTTTCGCTGGATCTGGCAGACCAGCTGTCGGCAGGCGTTGCTTCACATTTGTGGTCAGTGTAACTCACGGACTCACGAGAACGGATAGTTCGTCACTTGCAAAAGAAATAACTCAAGCCTATTAGGTTTTTCTTCTAATCTTCTTTCGACTAGTATAAAAAAGGGATGGGAAAACAACACAGCACGGTTGTAATTAACAAAAAGTCATACAGTACCATACAGGCAGCTGCTGCTCCGTAACCGGTTGCCCCTGGGGCCTGGCACATGAGTACTTCTGTAGTTCTGTTCGCTGATGCCGGCCGGGCGGCTGCTACTGTAGTGCGCTGTGCTCGACCGCATCCGCGCATGTCCGTCGACCGTCGTTCGCCTTCTTCGCGGTGCACTCAGAATTAACCAAGCAAAATTCCTCCGCCGCAATACCGAACCCGCGAGCCAGTCGGCTGCCGAACCGACCGTCTCTTGCGCCGGTGAAATCCTATCCCAAGTCCCACACGCTGACACGCGCGCCTCATCAGCGAGATGGTTCGGTCTCGTTGGTTTGGGAGATGCAACGGTTGGCGGACGAGGAATTCGGGACGTTGGGCTTAAGGCTACAATGGGCAACAAAAATTAGGAATAATTTCACCGGAGGTCCCTCAACTTAACAATGAGATTTTTTTAACATCCCTTTAACCATAAAAGCAGAAATGTCTACCCCTAAACTCACTCAAACCGTTCAAAGAAGGTCCCATGATAACACATATGGGTAGTTTCGCTGATGTGGCATCCTAGTCAGAAAAAAATAAAAAAATAAATATGTGGGGCCCACATGTAAGTGAGAAAAAAAATGTGGGTTTAACCATTCTAATCAGCAATCTCCTACTCTTTTCCTTTTTCTCTTTAGTTTTATCTTTGCAGCAGAGGGGGGGGGGGGGGGGAGGCGGCGGTGCACGGCCCGAGGCAGGCGGAGTGGCCGTGTCGGCGGCGGGCGAGCGGCGCCTCCGGGCTCAAGAGGTGCAGAAGGGCTTGGGACACGGGGTCGCAGGGGGGCGAGCGGCGGCTCCAGGCTCGGGAGGAGCATCATCGGCGGTAAGCAGCGGGCAAGCAGCGGCTCTGGGCGCGGGAGGAGCAGAGGGGCGGGAAACACGGCGGGCAGGCGGTGGCTACGGGCGCGGGAGGAGCAATGGGGCGGGGGACGAGGCGGGCGAGCGACAGGGGGCGGAGCGGAGCAGCGGCGGTGACAAGGGGTGTGTGGGGTGGTTTTTTTTGGCGTCATCGGCGCAGCAGAGCACCCGCGCCTCCGCCGCATCGGCCGTCGGCCGCCACGCGCTCGCCCGCCTGCTCCAGCCGCTCTCCGCTGCCGCCACCCCGCTCCACTCCGCCTCCGTCGCCGCTCTGCTCCGCTTCGCCAGATGCGTTCCGCTTTGCCGGCCGCGCGCTCACCGCCTCGCTGCTTCGGACGCGCGCTTGCCCGACGCCGTTGCCACCCGCTCCACTCCGGTGGTCGCCGCGCGCTCGCCCACCTGCTCCGGCCGCTCTCGGTTTCCGCTACCCGCTCCACACCGCCGCCGCTGTCGCCGCTCCGCCAACCGCGCTCTCTCGCCGCTGCCGTTCCACTTTGCCGGCCATGCTCTCGCCGCCGCGCTGCTCCGGACGCACACTCCCCCGCCATCGCCGCCACCCGGCTCCACTCTAGCGGTCGCCGCGCGCTCGCCCGCCTGTTCCAGCCGCTCATGGCCGCCCGCTGTCGCTCCCCCTCTATGGCAAAGATAAGAACGAAAAGAGGAGAGAGGAAAGAAAAGAGAAAAGAGGAGAAGATTTAGAAAAAGAAGATATGCGGGTCCCATATTTTTTTTTCCTTTTCACTTACATGTGGGCTCCATAACTTTTTTATTTTTTATTTTGTTGACTAGAATGCCACGTCAGCGAAACCAACCATATATACTGCCATGGGACAAACTTTGAATGGTTTGAGTAAGTTTAGGGGTATACCTTTCTGGTTTTGTAGTTAAAGGACTAAAAAAATCTCGTGGTTAAGTTGGGGGACCTCTGGTGAACTTATTCCCAAAAATTAAGCCCAGTCAATAGTCCAAAGTTCCAGTCAGTTAGGTTGGGCCGTCTGCGCAATTGCTAGCAGAAACTGAGTAAACTGGGCCGTGTAATCTGTATGTCCATTCAAAATCAGGCCCACTATATGTTCTATACCGCAGCAAGACAATGGTAAGCGAGTAGCGACAGGAAACGACCACTCACGAACCAAAATCTCCTCCACTACTGGACATTATCCAGCCGAACATTATCCCTGGCTACTGGCTAGATTCTTCATTCTTGATTTGTGAATAACACATCATCATCCTGAACCTGCAGCATCCGTGTCTCGGTGATAGAATGGCTGCCTGGATGGATGGCTAGCTCTTCCCCCAACATGTCACACAGCCGATCAGTTCCTGCATCGATCCCGAATATGATGCCAAAAGCAAAAACCGTCCTTCAGCATTAGCATCCCCCCTGCAACATGCTCGTGAGCACGGCATGTGTTTTGATGTCAACTTACCACGGCATCCGTCCGCTAGCGCTAGTATTTATACGCCTAGTTAGTCTCCGCGATCTTCTCCGATATATCGTGCACATCCATATCCACGCGCACACGCAGCCGGCTGGAAGGAAGAAAAAATGCTGCGGTTCTGGAGGACGCAGAGGAGCGTCACGTCGTCAGACGCCTTGTCTGTGAGTAAAACATGTAAATGCACCGTCAGAAGGAGATGGAGTACTATACATTTTCCATATGCATTTCTGAGTGCTGTTTGTGTATGTGTGCCTAAGATCGTGGAGATGAACGTCCACATGGACTGCGAGGGCTGCGAGAAGCGCGTGAGGAAGGCCATGTCCCGGCTCGAAGGTGCCAGTACTGTTTCGTGTGTGTAAAGTATACTCCAGTACGTGTGTGTTTCGTGTGTAAAATGCGTGCGTGCGTGCAGGCGTGAGCACGGTGGAGATCGACATGGACACGCAGAAGGTGACGGTGACGGGGTACGTGGACCGGCGGGAGGTGCTCCGGGCGGCGCGGCGGACGGGGAGGGCGGCGGAGTTCTGGCCGTGGCCGTACGACGGCGAGTACTACCCGTTCGCGATCCAGTACCTGGAGGACGACACCTACATGGCGACGCACAAGTACTACGTCCACGGCTACAACGCCCCGGTGATCGGCTCCTACCCCAACCACGCCTTCACCCACATCGTCGACGACCACGCCCTCGCCTTCTTCCACGACGACAACGTCCACGCCTGCTCCATCATGTGACCTAAAATATAATCTTATTTAAAATCCTACATGCCAGCGACAGATACATATCTGACCAAATCGAACAAGCTAAGTGACCTAATTAGTGGTGCAAAATAAGAGATGAAAAACCAAATCTAACTTCGTCGATCATCTAGTAATGGTCAAGTAGTTGCTCAGCAATCCAACGTGCAAAGAGTGTGGTGATATGATAGACAAATTAACGAATAGGAATTAAGGTCGAACTAAGCTTATCAATCGACAAGTTGTTCTTAATTAATTGCACTATGCGACCCTTTTTCTTATGAACATGAATTAAAAGGAAGGGAGCAGTAGAACTGGATTGCTAATTAACCCGCTATCCTTTTGAATTGACTATTCGACGGGCATCTGCATGGTATCGATGCTTGCTGTTGACAGCACAAGGGGAAGAAAAGGGTGGCCCTGAAAATTTTCAACTGTTGATGCTAGCTAGCGGCTGATCTCGCTGAGGTATCTGTGCCAGTAATTTTTGTCTGCGGATAGGACAACATGGAGAGGATGACTAGGAAAAGGAGCACTGTTCAAACTATCCAAATGTCTCCAACCAAAAGTGATGACCCATCCTTGCATATGTGCGCATCAGTGCATATGTTCTTATGCTGGTGTGGGGTGAAGATTCTGGTGTGAGGGGCAAACGGTGACAACGGAAAAGAAGGTTCGAATATACCCTGTTCCCTGATTACAAATACAGTTATGAGTTCTGACCATTGGATTGTATACATATGACAAAAAGAGAGTAAACTTCAGTTCACACATCAGACCAAATTGAGTACAGGTGCTACCAGTATTTGGCTTTCGAAGATATTTTACATTGGGACAGCGAGAGGAGTAAGTTCAGTTCACACATCAGACCAAGTTTGATGCAGCTGCTCAATGCTCTGTTTGTTCGTTTTGTCAGGGAATATGGGCTAACAGTGACCCAATCTGGATTGGATTCCTATCAATAAATAAACAAATAAATCTGGATTGGATTGTGGAAATGATAAGAACACGCGTGCAATTTGATCCACTTTTTATGCGATCAATTTGGGAGGAAATGCTCTTTCGTTTCGCTCTCACAAACCTGTGAACAATTTCCACCCTCTGAACTTTCAGCATTGTTCTTGTATTCCCCACTTCCTGAAGTTCTTAATTCTGTCACCAAACGACTTGGCATGCAGAACAATTCAGTCCCTCACGAGATACAGAACAAGAAGATATATTATCTTATACCCCATGGGCCAGGTAGGTACACCAGCAACAATGCAAATGCCGTCGCATCGCATCTCAGATACTTATGCCCACTAAGCTTGACCATTATGTTAACTTGGATTAGGGGTAGGCTAGAGATTGATTGGGGCTTATATGATAACACTACATATACACATAAACCACAAAATCAAGCTATCAACATTCCTCATCTCGTTGATGCCGACTTATATCTGCCCTGATAGCGCCTAATTAACCCGTGAACAACGTGTCTTTTCATCGTCCAAGTGCCCAACCAACACATGACAAAAGCAAAACGAGTAAATAAATTTATTTAGCTGCCAATAAACAAAGGAAACTGGACCTGCCCGTGTCGAATCAAATGCTAATAACTCGAATCTGGAACAAAATTAACGCCAAAAACAACACAAAAAACGACTCTTTTTTTTTCTCCAAACTCGACTCGGCTTTGAGAGTTCTAATCTTAGCCAGGCTCCACCCCAACCTGTGCTGCCCTGTTCGAGCGAAGAACGAAAGCGACACGAGCCGTCCATATAAATCCACGCCGTCGCCGCCGAATCTCGCGAAAAAGCTCGCAAATTTCTACTCGGGGAAGAAGAAGAGCCCTCTCCAAAGGATCTCCTCGCCCGGCCGGCGGCGATGGCGGCCGCGGCGCCGATGCCGGTTGCCGGAGCGGGGTGGTGGGATCTCGTGAACGGCTCGACGGCGTGGCAGGACGGGATCTTCCTCTCCCTCGCCGCTCTCTACGGCCTCGTCGCCGCATCCTCCTTCGTAAGCATCTCGCCGCAGTGCTCATCTCCTCCTCCTCCTCCTCCTGAGTCCTCCTGACTGATACTATACTCTAGTTATGCTTATGCGAAAGCACTGGGGGAAAGATTCTTTCAGAATTTTGTGTCAAGATGGATTAAGGGGTAAAAGGAATAACAATACACGTACTCCAACTGGGTTGGTGACTTGAGTTCATGGCAGGAGAATAAAGACTTGATTTTTGGTGCTTGTTTGATGGGAATACCGCAGATTTGCGATATCACCATCAGCGAGTTTAATTGGGAATAAAGACGGTTTTGTATTAGCTTTGTGCTTTGAGCATACCAGTGTTTTGCATCTGAAACTTGTAAAAGCTGATAATGAGGACGAATATTTTACAGAACTTTAGATCAATCAATATGAAAAACCTGCGATTTGAAATAGAGATAGCTGGACAAGGACTTGTGATTATCTGCCATGCTTATCTTTCTGATATCCGGAAATCCTGCTGGATGCCTGGATAGACAGTACAAAGGACAATAATGTGTATTTATGCCTTGGTATCTGAATAATGAGTAGTTACTACATTAGTGTGGGAAGTATGAACTGCAGATCCAGTTCCTATGCTTACAGATATGGTGCACATGTGAATGCTCGCTGTTAAATGATTAAATTTACTTGAGGAAGACAAGGCATACTTAATTACTTATCATGTGATATGCAGATCCAAGTTGTTAGGATACAGTACAGAGTTCCTGAATATGGATGGACAACACAAAAGGTCTTTCAATTACTTAATTTCATTGTGAATGGAGGTATTTGTTCAATTTCACTTGTAGTACAAGTTACATGCTCAACTCCCTTTGTGCTTTTGAGTTTAATGTGATTTCAATCTGCAGCGAGGTGTTCTATCTTTGCAGTCCGCCGCCAAGTCCAACAAGTGAACCCTGAGGTCTGGACATCTTTGCTATTTTCTGTCTTGTAATTGTTATGTTTCACCCAATTGGCCAGAGTTATATTCTTCATTCATTTTTATTCCAGATCTTTCAGCATGTTATTCTTGATCTTCCGGGGCTTGCATTCTTCACAACGTATGCAATGTTGGCACTTTTCTGGGCTGAGATATCTTATCAAGCACGTGGTCTAGAGACTGAAGGGCTTAGATCAGGTTTCTACACTATTAATGGTGTAATATATGTGATACAGGTAAAGCAAGTTATCTCTAAAAGTCTGTATTGATTAGTGATTGCTATTTATCAGATTTTGTATAATTCCGTTAGCATTGCAATAATCAATAGTACACCCTATTGCACAAGTTGCGGTGATCAGATATTTTCTTTGGAACTGTGAATTTCAAGAAATTTGTTATAGACCATGAAAAGCTGTGATGCGCTTATCCATTTTTCCCTGAAAAGAAAAGATATACTGTTGCTAGTATGCACTGATGTGAAACAATGAGATACTGGATGAAAGTAGAAGGGAATAACTTTAGCTGTTATTGTGCCACTTATCTTGTGATGGTTCAGTGCTTGCTTAGTATAAAACTTCCGCTAGGCTGCGTATCTCAAAATACTCACTCAAGTTTATTTCTTCAGGTTCTGCTGTGGGCGTTGTTGTGGCACAATCCAAACCCATCTATGATAGTCCTTTCGAAGTTGTTCATTGCAGGCCTATCCTTTTCTGCAGCCTTGGGTTTTCTGCTATATGGAGGGAGGTAGGACTAAGAGTATTACTGAATGACTCTTAACCAAGTTTCATCAATCATAGACAGCCAAATTGGCTGGCTAGACTAGCTGCAAACTATGTAACCTTGAACCATTTAGTCTACTAATAACTTATACGTAGAACAGTATTTCAAGAAAATGTCCACTTATTCAGTGCTTCATCTAGCATTTGACATTAACATTCATTTGCCCTGTTTTGATTGGCAGGCTTTTCTTCATGCTGAAGCGTTTTCCTATTGAGTCAAAAGGGAGGCAGAAAAAACTGAGGGAAGTTGGGAGAGTTGCCACTATATGCTTCCTTTGTTTCTTGGCACGATGCATTATGGTAAGGTTTTCAGTTCTCTGATCCTTGGATGAGTTTTTGAGTTTCAGTGTTCCATTTCTTACTTGAGCGGTTTTGACACTGCCCAATTTGTTTTGCAGATGTGCTTTGATGCATTTGACAAAAAAGCTGACCTTGATGTGCTTGACCATCCAATTCTTAATTTCATCTATTACCTGGTACGCATGAATCCTGCGACCATATTGTTTACCTCAGTGAAATCAACTTTTTTTCCCCGTTATCAGTTCTAGCTAGAAATTGATTTCCATTATCAATACCAGCTAAATATATTCTGTACTTGTTCTTATCCCCTGTTTGGCTGTACTTGCAGATCGTTGAAATTCTTCCTTCATCTCTTGTCCTGTTTATTCTGAGGAGAATCCCTTCGAAGCTACGGCTCGCCCAGTATCATCCCCTCAACAGTGGCTAGGGGATGAAAACGGATGAAAACATGAAAGCTAAAAATATGGAGAGGCCTGCAAAGTGACACGGCTGCAAGCCCAGGACATGAAAAAAAAGGATGACCCATGGTCTAAAATCTCTAACCCTTGTTCAAAATGTGTATAGATAGGGATCTGAAATCTGAAGTTTTCCCACAACCTTCACCTCCTGTAGCTAACCTTGGTGGTTCAAGGTGCTGATGATTTCGTGTAACCAATTGTTCCTTTGTAACAATGGAAGCAAGTGTCCTCGCTCTTTTGAGCGAGCAAGCCAATGTTTGTCTTGAAAAATTCTTGGGTAATCCATTGGTAATTGCTTACTACTGATAATATCCGCTTTGCTAATTGCTAGCACAACTCGAATGTGCTGGATCAAATGGTAATCCAGACATCCAGTATCAACGAAATTTTTGAAGTTTTGCAGAGTAGCAGCGTGATGCAGAGGTTTCTACCAACTCCGCTTCGTCAGAAGCGAACGCCGCCACCTACCAAACGCATGAATCATACGAAATTTCAAAATTGAAGTCTTGACCCTACCAAACTCCGCCATTCTTCTGTTCTGGTCTGCAAATATTTTTTTCTCTTTTTTTTTTTCGATAACTACTCGAGGCTTGGAAATCTCCGAGCCGCGAGCAAACCCTAGCCGCCGCCATGGCCTTCCTCGCCGCTGCCTCGACCCGCGCGCCGTTCGCCGTCGCGGCGTCCTCCTCCCGGCGCCGCACCGTCCTCGCCGCGGCCGTCAAGGCCACCGGCGGCTCCAACCCGGCCGCCCCGCACCCCGTCCTCTCCTCCCTCCGCCTCGCCGCCTCCGCCGCCGTCATCCTCGCCGCCACCTCCCCGGCGGCCATCGCGTGCACCCCGGCACCGCCCCCTCCTCCCCCGGAGGTAACCGTCGCGGCCTCGCCCGACGATCCCGTCACCGACGACCCCCACCCCTTCGAGAAGCTAATCGTCGAGACCGCCGCGCTCGCCAGCTTCGGCGGCGCGGAGGCCGCGCGGGCCCGCCTCTCCGCCGCCGCCGCCGCCGCCGCCGGAGTCGTCGGCGGCCGCGAGCAATACGCCCGCCTCCTCGCCGCGCAGGAGCTCTTCGTGGACGGCAAGGTGGACGACGCGATCGCCGCCTTCGAGGAGCTCGCCCGGGAGGACCCCGGCGACTACCGCCCCGTGTTCTGCCAATGCGTGCTCTACTCCGTTCTGGGCAGGGCCGCCGAGTCGGAATCGATGCTCCGGCGCTGCCGCGAGCTCGCCGGCGAAGAATCCGTCGCCGATTTCGTAATGCCGGTCTCGCCGTTGCCGGTCGATTCGTCGGAGGCGGAAGCGGAGCCGGATTCGCCGGAGGCAGAGACGGAGAAGCTGTGACCGGAATGGCCGGTGTCACGGTTGGAATAAAGGTATTCACTTGACTCGCGATACAAATGTAGGGAGATATTAAATGGCGATGATTTGATAATTTTTCATGCAATTTTAGATTTCAAATACTACATGATTTTACATGTCCTCCAAATAAAATGAAGCGATCATGAGAATTTGATCGTATTGATAAAACAGTTTCCACGATGATCGCATTGCTTAGAATTGAGTCATTTGCAGGAATATCTTATTTATTCCTCAATCCTGATGGTGGTTAATCCACCGTCGCAGTGAAATTTGTTGGAATCGACCGATCAACTAAGCTCATCTTCACTCTTTGCTCGTCTCTGGACTCTGGTAGCTGATCTAAGAACGTATACAATCAACATGTATCGCAGCGACAAATGATCATCGTTTCAGCACTAGCAGGTTAGGCAGAGCAGCCACAAATTTCAAGACAACGTTGTTTTACGCTGTAGGACTCCATGCTAATGCCAGTGCTCAATGCTGATACCCGGTCACATTATTTGTCCCCATTCTGAGCGAACACGGTGAAATCATGTATTGCTGCTGTCTGTGTTGATGTTGAGGGAAGTTATCTGTGGATCACGTAATGCGGCTGCTAGTAACAGAAATATCTCCTAGATAGCATTGTTGGCCTGCTGGGGTAATGACTTCCAACTGATGAATGTACAAATGGCATGTAAAATGACGGCAAACTAGCCCTCGTGCTCTCTACCAGGAAAAGAGAGTTGTCTCTTCCTACTTCCCATGGGATTGTCTTGTGCTGCATAGCTATCCAGGCGGTCTCAACTCTTCTGCTTGCTATAGGACCAGATGAGTTCTTTCTTTTTGCCAACCAAATTCAGGACGAGTTGGGCTGTTGGAGTTTGGCCGGAGCAAAACACGTTACGAGATTGTTGCCATGAGGTGCAAGGTGGTCTAACGTGCAAGCATGTTTGCAGTCAGCAACGTACAATTTTTCATTTTTTTTTCTTCAGCTTTTGATGTGTGCTTAATCTCCTTCTATTAATATAACGCCAAGCAACCTGTTTGGCCCTTTGAAAAAAAAAAAAACACACTGACGAGACAACGACTCAATAACCATCCCTGGTAGTTAGAAACTCGACTTGCTTTGCTGGTAAAAGGAGCATTCAACATAAAAAAGACAACCATTTATTATGCCATTCAAATACTTCTTATCTTGATTTTGAAACATCAGTTGCATCACCAAACATAAATAAAAACACAATATTTGGTTTTCCCGGGCTTCACCGTGGTCAAAGAAATAACTTGGCCCATGTTAGCAATCCCGAGCAACGTTTTGGCCGATCGAGCAAGTTGCCATGGCAACGAAGCCATGCATGCAACACAAGATGCAGAGAAAGAAAACCAGACGAAAATAAAGTTGCTAATGCATCTGCATAAGCATGACACACTTGAGGACTTGAACAATTGACCCACGACCTCGATCAATCAATACTGGCGGTGGCGGATCAGCGACATCCGGGAGCCTCGCAGCTTCTCCTCCACGACGTCGTCGAGCCTCCGCGCCATCTCCGGCGACATGTGCTCCTTCCAGTCTCCGACCTCACCCTTCCTGAAGAAGGCCGAGTTCTTGAACGACGACCAGGTAGCCCCGTGCTCGCCGTCTCGATTTGCCTCCACGTTTCTCATCCTTTCCATACTGCAGAGCTCCACGATAGTTTCGGGGACGCCACCGGCAAGCTCCTCGCCGGTGAACGGGCAGCCGAGGAAGCCGGCGAGCCGCCTCACGCTCCCCACGCCGTCCTCCTTGAGGCTCTCGTACCGGAGGAACACGACCTCCTCCGGCCGCGCCAGGCTCTCCTTCCAGTACTCGGCGGCGTGGTCCCACATAGGCCCGTACGGCGAGACGCCGTCGCAGAGCAGCTCGAAGGCCTCGTCGAACGGCGTCATGGTGGATCCCTCTGGTTTGATCTCGTCGAGGTAATGCCGGAGCGAGACGAACGCGTCCTTGGGGTCGCGGCACAGGTAGACGACGCGGCACCCGGACGCCTTGACCGACGCGGGCAGGCTCGAGAGCGGTTCGTGCACTGCCAGGATGCGCGGCGACGGCATGGCATCGAGGCGATGGCCTGGCGCGACGCGGCAGCTGCGGCTGATCTCGTAGATGGAGTGCAGGAATGGCACGAGGTCGTGCGGGCTGGAGTGGAGGAGCGGGTGCTGCCCGGCGGCCGGCGCGTGGCGGCCGCGGTGCACGACGCAGAAGGCGAGCGCCTTGAGCCACGTCGAGCCGGACTTGGGCATGGTGGCGAGGATGACGTCGCTGGGGCGGGCCACGAACGTGTCCCGCGCGGCCAGCGTCGCCGGCATCAGGTGCGCCGGGTACCAGAATCCGCCGTACCTGCGGTACGGGGCGCTCCCGAGACCATGGCAAGACGGTAGGGAGGACGCGAGCGCCTCGTACTTGGCGAGGGCGTTGCACCAGCCTTCCCCGTCGCCGGCGCTCATGTCGTCGCCTGCGCCTGCGCGCGGCGAGAGCAGGTGCTCGGTCACTCCGGCGGTGGCCATGGCATTCCTGGGTCTTGGAGGACCAACGCCTCTATCTATAGATGGCCATGCATGCCAATCTGTATTTACTACTCCCTCCATCCTAAAATATTTGACGCCGTTGACCTTTTTTAAAAATATTTGACCGTTCGTCTTATTAAAAAAATTTAAGTAATTATTAATTCTTTTCCTATCATTTGATTTATTGTTAAATATACTTTTATATATACATATAGTTTTACATATTTCACAAAAGTTTTTGAATAAGACGAACGGTCAAATATGTTTAAAAAAGTCAATGGTGTCAAACATTTAGGGAAGTAGGAAGTACAAAATAGTACTCCATCCATTCCAAATTGATCTACATATTTCATAGGTACATCAAGACTAAGAAAAACTAATAATTCTCTCATACTATATTTACTCTAGCAACAAACTTAATACATGCATCATCCCCACTATTTCCTAGCCAATAGCAAATCAATATATTGCATGTGGGTTATAAATACATGTGTGCATGGATGCATGCATCAATGTCTATTTACTCCAATGCAGAAATAACGAATAGACCTAATAAATGAACACAAATATGCAGATCAATTTGAAACGGATGGAGTAATTAACTGGGGGTGCAGAACTTGTGCGTGTTAAAAAATTATTGCAAGATACACATCAAAAGGTACGATTATCAATCTTTTTGCACTAATGCGCCATCGCCTATTTGACTCTTCCAGTCTACCGACACTTGTTAATAACTAGTGCCAAATCTCTACTTGCCTCTCCAAATCTGCATACAAAATAAAACAGGTGCCAAGCCTAATATACTACTCTTTGTACGACTGATTGAATCATTTCCAATGCCACGGCCACGCCAGCATGAGGTTTTTTTTTAGCCATAGTGTAGTATTTTACTAGACTAGAACCAATCTGATGAGGGTACAAGATGTTTGCTGATCGACTTGCACAAAAGTTGGTGCCTCTTGTCCGCCTAAACCAAGTTGCAAATTCTGACCATACTTTTCAAATTATTTCTATCCAGCTAGCAGAGTTTCTACTTCGAAATTCTAACGCATGGAGAGAGTAAGATACTTCGCAAATCATGGATAGAATCATAGAGAGCCATGCCTTTCATCATATCAATATCTCATCAGAACTTCAGTACATATGGTTGAGAACTATATTGGATACATGCATATAGCTACTAGTATATATATGCTTTAGTTGAAAGATTCCACATCCGGGAGCAGTTCGATGACACACCGGCGAGTAGAGGATGGATTCTAATCTCTCGGGTGGACGTCCACCCGTTTCTTACATGTCACCTAAATGATTATGAAAAAAATCAAAAAAAAATTACAAGGTAGGTTAATATATAATATATCACTTCACAAACATGTAAGTTCAAATTTGACTTTTACGAGTCTATTTCGCCTTCAGTAGTCTATTTCGCCTTGGATTTCTGGAAAGAGTAACGGCGGTTAGTTACTGTAAGGAACGGTTACTGCTCAAGCCTCAAGGCCTTAGCCAAACACAGAATTCAGAAAGGCGTTAAGCTAGCTTTCTTTCGCATTAACTAATTAATTTCACTGCCCAAATATGCTGCATGATATGAAAGAGCACGGAAGAGGACACGATCAAATGGTAAAGAAAATAAATGTTTAAAATGTCAGGTTTAAACGTACCCCAAATCGCGAGCCGCTAAGACGCAGGGAGTCCATCTCGAGCAGGTCGTCGACTTCGTCCAGCTCGATGACGGCCCTAATTATCGCATTGTTGAGTTCTTTATCCTCGCTCGCGTTAAAGAGGCAGCCTCTGTTCTTTGCATCAGCCACTATCTCACGCCAAATGGTCTTTGCTACTCGCTAGAGTATTTGCATTGCCAAGAATCCAAAGACAGTGCCTGCAAAAACAAAAACAACAATGGATCAAACAACAAAATCGGAGTGAAATCAACTCTCTGTGCGACTGACGTAATTGGCCGGGAGGATCGAGGCAACCTACTTGGCCCGGGTCAGCGCGACGTTGGTGCGGTTGACGTTGGAGAGGAACCCGACCGATCCGGTGGTGTTGCTGCGCACGGCGGAGAAGATGATGATGTCCTCCTCGGCGCCCTGGAACCCGTCCACGGATCGCACCTTCACGGTGAAGCCCCCGTGCGTCTCGTACGCCTTCCCGAGCCTCTCCTGGATGGCGCGGACCTGCCCCTTGTACGGCGACACCACGCCCACGCACAGCTTCCTCCCGGTGTCAACCGACTCTGCACAAACCAAGCTATCTGAGCTCAGCGATGCCATGCCAGAATGCAAGGGCATGATGCAATGTGTACCTTTGAACAATCTCTGAACGATCCGGGTCACGGCGGCGACCTCGATGGGGTTCATGAGGCTCTTGTCGTGCTTGCCCTTGCTCTCCTTGCCGGCATCGACGTTGATGAAGGAGTAGGAGCCGTACATTGGCCCGGCAAGGGGCTTCCTCTCGTAGTCCCTGTGTAATACGTTCTCGCCGTCAGATATCTTGTTCTCGTAGAAGCTTGAGACCGGGAACTTGCTGATCCCTGGGTGCATCCTGTACTGCACATCCAGGAGGTGCTTCGGGTGTCCCAGCGAACTCAGCCTCTCAAACAGGCTCCTTCCAAACTCAGCATCTTCACAAACCTGTGAAGAAACAAACAGACAATTGTTACATAGCATAGTAATAGAGATTGTGAATGTTCTACTAATAGAGATGGTGAGAGCTTACCCTGCTTTTGACAAGTGCCGGCAGCTGAAATTCATAGCCGATGAGAACGGCGTGACGAACGCCAGGGAGCTGGAGAGGTATCAGTGACTCGCACTCCTTCAGCTGTGCTGCCTCGTCGACGACAAGGAGATCAAACGGGCTTGCTTCTGGCAGGTAGTGCAGACGGGATGAGCTAGAAGCTGTGCAGAGTATGCTTTTGGCGTTCCGGACTAGGAAATCTTCTATCGAACGCTTGTCGAAAACGTTCGGAAGTTCAAAGTGATCAGATAGGTGTTTTAGCTTCTGAAGACACTGAGCTCTAGCATCCTTCAGCTCTGTACTCACACTATCTTGCACATATGTCACGAAGTTCTGAAACAGTGAGCTGATGCTGCCATCGGGGCTGAGTTTGAACAGGGTTTTCAGGCTCTGTTCTGATTTGGGCTCCACAAGTTTACCAAAAAATTTTAGCATGTGCAGGGCCTGGGTCATGTAACTGAAATTCTCTGCAGTTGTAGCTGACCTGGGGAGATAATCACAGAAAGTCTTGACACAAACATTAAGATCATTCTCAAGCCGTTTGTAATTACTTATGAAGTATTCCTTGAACTAGGAAGATAGCCCGCGCATTCGCGCGGGCATGTATTGTGGGCTGCATGTTTCAAAAACTTATAAGAACATAATATTAACCGAATAGCACTGTCACACTTCGAAGTATGTTTTCTCCACAAATATTATTCGTTGGTATTTGTTATTTTCCACAAACGTGTTATCTAACAACTTAAAAGTGTTTCACATTGTTGTAATGTAAGCAACATGTTGTTAATCATATGGTTTAAAAATCTTTGTGGCTTTTCCTAAATATTTATGGCTGACCAATAGCTAGTCTCCAAAATATGCTCTAAAGTAATTTATTTCTTTTACTTGTTAAATATAGTTAATTTGGATTTCGACTCATGAAAGTTTACTGCAAATAATCTAATGAGGTGCACTAATAAAAAAATAGTTTAGATGGTATAGTTGTTTAAAAATTTCTATCACGAAATATGTTTTCTATCTAACTAATAAGCATGAAAATAGGGCAATGGGAGAGAAGGAAAAGAGGAGGCGAGGTTGTGCTCGTGCATGAGGGGGGAGGGCGCAGACATGCACATGTACGGACATAACATAATAGGACAGCTAGACAGGAGGGATGGGATTGGGCCTTTTCTCTTTTTGTCTATCTATTAAGATAAATCTAATGGTAAAAAAATAATGAGACCATGGTAAAAGGCATATTTCATATAAATTATGAGTATATGTGATTTTTTTTAATTATTTCATATTTTATTAAGTCAATTTAGATGACATGTAAAAAAAGTAGGGATGTTGTCTCTTGACAAAACACTATTTAATAGTCGAGTTTCTAATTTTTGTTTGACATTGTAGTTTTAATTTACATATGAATGTTTCTAGAATAATGTGGATGAGAGGAATGGGGAGGAAGGGGAAAAGATGTTTTTTTATTTAAAAGTTTAATAGAGATAGATTTAATGTTAAAAATAATAGGTTTATCGATTTAAATAGAAATCATTGATTAAATGTTTCTTCCGCAGTATTTGTAGTACTTTTTATAATTTATTAGATGTGCCATGTGATGAGCTAGAAACACTATAAAGGATGTATAATGGACCATTATTATATAATGGATAGATCTGTATGATATTTTATGGGGATCTGCTTAATGAATCTTTATAATATAATAAGCATTATATAGTAATTATTTATATACTAAGCTGCTAGCTAGAAAATATGGATAATAAAGTGAGTAAGGAGAGAGGGTAGATCATTTACAATGGCATGATATGTATTAGTATTTAGTTATCATATAAAGGATATGAGTTTATATCCAAATGGTCTATTTCTTATATGTATATACACACCAACACATGGCATAATTGAAATCAAATATATTATAAGAAATTATAATTATTTAATATTAATATTTTAATATAAAAAATTTGCTACCTATAAATAAATGGAGAAAAAAGAGAGAAGGTGGGGGACGTACGTACGTGGTTTTTTTTTACAAGCGTACGTACATAGTTTGGTGTATGTACGTGATGGAGCGGATACGAATGGGTTTTGAGATTTTTTTTCCTTGATATAAGATGGATCTAATGGTGTGAAACGATGGGTCCACCATGTTAAGTTGTAGCGCCCGTTTCGTCGTGGCGCCTAGTGGGAAAACTATCTCTTAAAAATCCTAAATGCGAAAATTTTCTCCTTGTTTGTTGTCCAGTGTCCGTGCCATTCCAGATCTCAATTCCCCAATCCATTGTCGAAATCCAAACCCTAATCTCAAATCCGTCCCAAATCAAATCCTCTCGAAAAGTCTATTTTGCCTCCCTCGAGTTCGTGGGCCAATCTCTTCTCCCCGGCCCATTTCCTCCTCAGCCCAACTCTCCTCTCCCCTCCATCCTTGCCCGCACATGTGAGGCACGTGCGCCGCTCGGGCGCTGAGCGAGAGAGAGACTCTCTCTCTCTCTTTCACTTCTCCCTCCCTCTCTGCTCTCGTTGCCACTTCCCGCCGATGCCGCTCAAATCGCCGCGCCACCCGTTGCTTCCCGCGCGCGCGCGCCAAGGTGGCCGACCGGCAAGTCGCCGCCGCCATCAGCGCCTGCTGCGCCTGAGCCCGCGTCTGCCGCCCTGTAGCCGCGCCCTTCCAAACCGCCCCACCGTCATCGCCGTCGTCATCGACCCGGCCCCGCTACTCCGCGCGCTAGCTTCCAAGGGATGGAGGCAGAGCTCCTCCTCCTGCCTCGTCGCCCTCTCTCCCTCCTTCTTTTCCCAAAGAAGCAAGGGGCAAGCCCCCTTTCTTCCTTCCTTTTTCCCTTTTCTCTTCCACCACCGGCGTCATCCTCCCTGTCGCTGTTTTGGCCGCTAGCCGGGACGCCAGCTCGCTGGCTTGACCGCCCAAGGTCGGTTTTCGAACCGACATAACCGCCCAATAAACCCGAGCCCCTCCCCTAAACCCATCTCCCTCGCTTTCGCCTTCCGCCATTGTCGCCTCGCCCCGTGCCCTGTTCGTCGTCGCCCTTCGCTGTCGCGTGCGCCGGAGGAGCCGGTGCGCGCTAGGATCGGAAGGGGACTCCGGGCACTCGTCTTCTTCCTCTTCCCCGGCCCGAGGCCGGAGAGATCACTCCCGTGCCGTCGGCCTCTCGTCACAGCGCCCCGTCTCGTCTCGGTAGAACACCTCCCTGTTCTCCCTCCTCGCTCTTCCTCCTCCCCTTAGACTCGAGCAGTAGCTTGTGTAGCCTCCCCGTAGCTAGCCTGCGTCGCCCCGACCGCTGCCGCCGCTCGCAGTAGGCTCACCGCCGTCACCGCCGTGCTCGGTAGTAGCCGCCTGTCGCCGGCCTTCCTCGGCGATGTTCCGTCCAATCCGACGCTAGAAACGGATTCCCGGAGTCGCGTAGATGCTCTAGCTCGCCCGAATCGATCTCCCGTCACGCCATCGCTGATTTCCCCCTTTCTCGCCGCCGGTTGCTGCCGCCGCAATCCGCCGCCGTCGAGCCCCCTCCGGCGAATCCGAGCCGTTGGCTCGCTCCCTCTCTTTTCCCCTTGTCATTCTAGTGTACACCTCGTCGCCCTCGTCGTCGCACAGCGTCCCGGAGAAACCGTCGCCTCCCGCCGTCCATTCGCGGCCGGCGCCTTCGTCTTTCTCCCGCCGGCCCGCGTGGCAGCCACGAAGGCGCCACATCGGCGCTAGCTCGGCCGGAACGGGTCAAGCCGACCCCGGTCAGCCGCTCCCTCCGTCCCCGCTCGCGTGCGCGCGGCCCACGGAGAGCTGAGAGGCTGCGCGTGGGCCACTTGCGCGCCGCGTCCACCGCAAGCCACACGCGTGCACCGCACCCACCCCAACCCTAGCGCCGCGCCACATGCACCTCACTCACGGTGAGCCGAGCCGCCGACAAGCGAGTCCCACTCGGGACCACGCGAGGTGGACCCGGCCCACCGGTTCCCCTCCCTCTCTCCCCGTGCGTGCCTTTGGGCCGCCTTCTCGAGCCCGCCGGCCCATTAGCTCGGCCGAGCCGCGCCCCTTCTCTCGGGCCGCACCCTAGCCGCCCGAGGGAAGTCTGTTCCTCCTCCCTCTTTCTTTTCTTTTTCAAAGGGTTTAATTAAATCCGTATTCCTTTAGACCAAAAATCCAATAATCTTAGAAATTCAATATCTTCTCAACCGTACATCCGTTTGACTCCGCTCAACTTCCAAAAATCCTCAAATCTCGAGATCTACCCAATGGCACGCTTAGAGGTCAATAATAGGGCTTTAATTTCGCTGTTTGTTGAGTCGTCTCGTTCGCGTGTAGCTTCCGAGCTCGAAGACCCAGAGTGCGCGGATTTCGAGGATCAAGCTTAAGATCTCGAGCAAGGCAAGTCACCTTTGATCATCTTGCACCTATAATTTAAATCTAAGTATTTCTTTTCCGCAAATAATACATGGATAGGATTAACACAAGAAATTTGGCCGCGGCTTGCGAGATAGCCTACCGGCCCCCATCCTAATTGCTGCAATTAGCCTCCTTGAATTATTGAACACTTAAACCTCCTTTGTCGACTGTTGTACTTCGATGTACGGGCCTTCGGGCACGCACGTCGGAGTCCTCCCCTCAAATTTAAAATATCCAACGATGGGTAAAACTTGGGTTTTACAAAAGACTTGGAAAAACCCGACGCCTGGGTCGATGCTTGCGAACTAAATGAATTTCCAAAAATCGCAGACCGGGGGACGTGCCGGGAGCACGGTTTCCTGCTCTTGCACTTAAGGACCGATTCCTTTGGAATTTCATCTGAACATATAACAAGTACGACCACATGGGTGGAATGGGACACCCCTGGCTGAGTAATTAGCTAATCAGGGGAGCCTTGATGCCGGGAGACAAGTGGATTCGCCAGGGTGGTGTCGGGGAGGACCCCTGGGCTTCCTGGCATAGTATGGTCTAGGACCTAACCTGTTGTTGGTCTGGGACCCCTCTCGTCGGCATATGGTAAACCTGTGTCGGCTCTCGAAATGCCTTGTCATGAAAGCCTTAAGGTCACCAGACGTGGCTGTTCTCCATGGGCTGGGTGATCCGGGTTAGTAATGTCGTGTGGGTAAAGTGTGCCCCCTCTGCAGAGGTTATTAAACTGTTCGAACAGCCGTGCCCACGGTCATGGGCCGATGTAAGGTGATTCCTTAGTGTAGTTTTGTTCGACTAGTGCTTGGTGAAATTGCTGTTGGGAATTTGGGTTCGATGTTTGGAACATCTGTAGCTGACGGGATCAGCTAGGCCCGGGTGGCCATTTGAAAGTTGTGGCCGGGTGCCAATCTTGAATCAATCAAAGACTGATACATTGCACATACTCTGACCGGACGAGATGTACTGTCTCATCCGTGTCGTTTGAGAAGCACTCACTTAGTTGTTTTAAAAATGAGTTTAACTAAAAATCAATTGTAAAAACAACAGCCTTTCCTTTGAAGCCTTCATTAAACACATAATTCCCATGACTTGCTAAGTACTCCTGTATTCACCCTTGCTCTATATAAATAATCCCCCCAGTGGCTGAAGAAGATGAGATGGACCCCGCTGACGAGGAGTTCTTCAGGAGCAAGTCGGCTATGATGAGTTTTGGGGTTTCGATCTGGTTCCCAAGTCGCGCCTGTGATGTTAGGTTCAAGTCTTGGCTTCTGCTTTCCTCTTTTGTAATGCAGTTGTGAGCTCGGGGTCTGTCCGCAGCCCAACATGACTGTACTCCTACTCTATAATAAAGAGACCTCTGTTGCTGTGATATTCTGTCTTCCTGTGATACCAGCTCTATTTCCTGGGATTGGTATCGGTTAACAGGTTAATTTGGAGCGTCACAGGCTGGTTCCGTTCGGGGCTAGTTCGGGGCGTGACATAAGTGAAAACTGATGGTTGGATTTTTATTTTTTCCTCATAATTTCTATAATTTGTTAGAGTGCCACATGACGATATAGGAGTGTTCGTAGGAGCCACATGGCGGTTTAGGAGCGTTTGTAGGAAGTTTAATGGACTTTTAGTATATAATAGATAGATGGCATTATTGGTATGACCTTAGGAACATCCTCCTTTACCTGCTTTTTATCATTCTCCTTGTTCTTGTTTTTGTTCCTTTTCTTCTCAGCAAGATCCTCTTCTATCTCCCTTTCAATTTGCTCCACATATGAATCATACTGAACCAGAGGTTGCTCAAGAATCCGTATCATGGAGCTCAGACTGTGCACCCACCCTGAACCTGGACTCAGGCACTTCTGCAGTCGGCGAGCGCGCTTCTCCAAGAAGATCTTTGTCAGGTTTCCGTCCACGTTCATCCGATCCTCATTTCCGAACAGCACAACATCACTCAAAAAACAGGCTTTTCCACTGCCAGCAGAAGGATCCTCGAGGAGATTGAGGACCCGAGATGCGACCTCGACGACGGCGGTGTTCGTCGGAGCGCAGGTCAGTGTCCTGTGGTTCTTGACCAGCATTGCCCACAGGAGCGTGCTGATGGTCTTCGTCTTCCCTGTCCCGGGAGGACCCCAGATCAGGCGCACGGAAGAGCTCCGCTGCTGCATCGCTGACACACAGTCTAGTACTGCCACCTTTTGCGACTTGTTGAGCTTGAAATCTTCAAGGCCACCAAGTGCTCTGTCCGGTAGATGTAAAGGCAGTTCTGAAGAATATGAACATTCTTGGCCGACCTGCCGTAAGAATTAAAGAACATGCATAAGCACCAAATTGCATGCAATGGAGCAGATATATTACATGGTAATGCATACCTTTGGATTGCAATTTACTATCATCCGAATGATGTCAGTGTTCCTGACACTAGCAACCACCGCATCCAGTTCACTCCATATGCGATTGTACGTCGTCATGTTGATCAGGAACACCGCGAAGAGAGACGATTCCAATCCAAACTGCTGCTCAACATGCTTACTTGACAGCCTGACGACGGTGTTGCCTTCAGCATCCTCGGCTTTGAGCACCGAGGCAATCACCAAGGGCTTCTCACCGCGTCCCAGGTCAGAGATGTGCCTCGGTTTCCGATCCGTCAGCAACAGTGTATCCGCCTCCTTTGGGGCGTAAACTTCCTGAAAAATGTCCTTGGGATCAGCTTTATTGGCGAAAAAACTGTATATGAGCTGCTCGTCTGAGCAAAGCTTAATCCTGGTCACTTCAGCTGCTGGCGCATGCTTGATGCCTTCCAGTGCAGAGCAGAGATCAGCACGAGTCTCTTCGATCAGCGGCACGGTGAATGATCCCATGTACTCTTTCAGCGAGGAGAAAATTGTGGGTATTTTCTTAACCTGCATCAAGGCAAGATCATCCGCGAGATAATACTCAGATTACAGCGAGAGAACAAGCTGGATAATGCGATGTACGCTACCATTACAGTGGAAGAGATTGTGTGCAAACTGCAGTTCATGGGATAAATAGTTATTCCCTCCATTTCATATTACAGGTCATGCAATCTTTTTAAGTTGAGTAAATTTTACAAAACTACACGTTTTGTAGTCCAAGTTGCAGAAAACCACAAACATTTTGACACTTGGCACTTAAGTACATATATTTTGATAGTGTAGTTTCACAAAACCACACTATCAATGAATAGATTCACCCGTGAGATGACGTGACTGTTTCATATAGGACGAGGACATGTCATCCTATTAACAGCCATCGCACGAAATTAATAGGATGCCACGTCTTCATCCTAAATGGAACGACCATTTCATCTCACGGGTGAATCCATTCATCGATAGTGTGGTTTTGTGAAACTAAACTACCAAAATATATGTACTTAAATGCCAAGTGTCAAAATGTTTGTGGTTTTCTGCAACTTGAACCATAAAACATGTAGTTTTGTGAAATTTATTCTTTTAAGTTTGATCAAACTTATACTACCTCCAACACAAAACATATATACTAATAAAATATATTTAATGTTGTATTTAATGAAACTAATTTGATGTAAAAGATGTTAAATTTTTATATAAATTTGATCAAACCTAAAAAGGTTTACTTATAATAAGAAACGGAGGAAGTAACAATCTACTGCTTGGTTACCTTTTTCTTGAGTAAGTCTTTGTTGAGCACATCTTTGAGGGACCAAGAGAACATCTGCTTCTCCAACTCGCTCTGCGACCACGAACTGTACCTGCCATCTTTTGCCCTTGCGGATCTCGTCCCCGCCCCCTGCTGCACCAGCACGACGTCGTCGTCGTCGCTGTCGTAGTAGTAGCTCATCGCTACCAGCACGACGTCGTCGTCCGTCCGGCGAGCGAAAACGTTTCTGGCTCCGGTTGGAAGCTTTGCAAGTGTAGGTGATGATCTGATTCTACTTTCTAGGCTGCAGCAATGCGTCGAGGATTTGTAGAGGCACAAGACCGGTGGGATTCCGTCTGCGAATTAATGTTTGAGTTGGGGTGTGTAGGGTCGATCCACCCTTCCGTCTCTCAGTGTGAGTGTGTGACCCATCGTTCTGAGAAGAGAAGCGCATGCGGTTGCATTCGCTAGTGAAAAGGTGAGAGGGTGTTTGGTTTACTAGGAGCCCAACAAGTGAAATGCAATTTACTGATTGTTCAACTGATCGTCTGAGGGTTGTTTTTCTTTATCTATTATAAAAGTTTAAGATGTTTTTACTAGAATTTTGGTACGTCATCTGTGTTTAAAACGGTTTTAGTTTTATGTTTCGGTTTAATCTATATCTCTACGACAAGAAATTTCCGACTTCTGTAAAAAAGAAAGAAAAAGAAGTCCGACTCAAAAAAAGGTAAATAAAGAAAGAAAAGAAAGTCCAACTTAACGAGCGATTTTAAAAAGAAGCTTACATCGTCACTTAACTAGCGATTAAAAAAAAAGCTTCCGTCGTCGTCAGTAAAAAAAAACATCTCTTGACTATGTAGAAAAAGGAAAAAAAATCTCCCAGTAAAAAACAAAAATGTTCGTTTGGTTTTTTTGGCACCGATATTTTTTTCCTTTTTTCTTTGCACGCAAAAGAGTTTTTTATATGCACACATTAAGGTTTTTGGTTTTTTTTTCCTTTTTTTAATCCGATCTATTCACCGCGCGCCTCTCGGGTACTCTTAGTTTTTTTGGTCAATCTTTTTTATCGCCGGTTTTTTTCTCCCATGCGCTAGCTTTTTGTTTTTCTCATCCGGTTTTATAATCTCATCTGTTCACCGCACGCCTTCCGAGGTGAACCCTAGCGCTACGCCACCGCCATATCGATTGTATGTTTTCTCCTCCAATTTGATTGAAAAATCGATTCCTCACTCCTCTCATCATTTTCTCCATGATTTTCCCTTTGATTCGGCTTTAATTGTCGGATTTAATCACTGTTCTACAGGTGCCGATGATGACGGCGATCTTCCTTGGTCATTTTTATCCGAGTTTTACGCTTTGATTTTTGGGTAAAAAGAGTAGATCGAGTGGATTAAAAACCCTCGACCAATTTTGGTTTACCAAGAAAGATTCGGCTGGATTTGATTGGGAGATTTGCTCTAGCAAACGTGTGTGCACAGGATTATCTTCGAGAGGTTGAAGATGGTAATCACATTTGAAAGTTGAAGATGGTAGGGTCGGAAACCGGTAGCAAATACAGAAACATTAAATTATAAAAACATATATTTAACTTTACATAAGTATGTTATATGTATACATAAATTCAAACTTATACTATATAAATTATAAATTAACTCCATTTTAGTCATGCACAAAAGTTAGAGATTTGATTGAAGAGTCAATCAATATGTAAGCTATGGGTCAAGTAGAGACATGCCCTATAAATATCGACATATTTAGAATACGGTAATTACCATATTACAAGAAACGATAATTTCCACAAGAATACGGTAAATACGGAAATGATCAGTATAACAGCAAAACCATTTCTGTTTTCATTTCCATATTTTTTACCATTTCCATTTTTGTTTCGGTCGATTACCATTTCCATATGGCTCGGCCGGTAGAAAGTCGAAAACGAACGCCGGTCGGCCGGGAATTACCGTTACCGTTTTCACCCCTAATGTAAGGTCATGTAAAGGCTGTGTTCGATTGTGGGGTTCCCAACCCCTCTCCCGCAGCACACAAAACGAAGCGGAAGTTTAGCGTATAATTAATTAAATATTAGCTAATGATCTATAAAATAAATTAATATTTCTATAGAATATTTTATAAAAAAAATACATCGTGTAGCAGTTTGAAAAATGTACGCGTGAAAAACAAGTAACTAAAGTTGGAATTCACCAAAGAACACAGAGCTAGAGACTAACCAAGCACTATCATATTCCCAAATTTTAATAGCATAGTAGGTGGATCTAGGAAGGATAAATTTGTCTTTTCCTAACTCAGAGCTTCAGATCTATTTTTGAATTTGGAACTCTACGATACAGGCCCTAATTCACTCATATGTCTTGCACTTCACATTGACTTTTTCACAAAGAGTTAGGACCTCATCTTTTCACTTATGCTTATACTTATGAGCCAAAACTTGAATTTTCCAACTTTAAAATTGAAGCTGATTTAAGGTTTTTTCATCGAAGTTTATTTTTCAGCTTTTACTTTTAGATCACTAAGAACACATATATAAAAATTTTATTCACAAACTACTTTTCATTTGCAAATATGCCGTTTCTCTTAAAATCTACGAATAAGCGAAATGATGGGACCGTTAATTTTCTCGTTCTGTGTGTGTTTGGTGTCCTCAATGTCAGCCTCTCACCTTTACTATTCTCTCCGTTTCAGGTTATAAGACGTTTTGACTTTAATCAAAGTCAAACTGTTTTAAGTTTGACCAAGTTTGTAGAAAAAAGTAGTAACATTTTCAACCCAAGATAAATTTATTATGAAAATATATTCAATTATTGATTTGATGAAACTAATTTAGTGTTATATATTACTATATTTATCTATAAACTTGGTTTAACTTGAAATTGACTTTAACCAAATTCAAAACGTCTTATAATGGGGTATATTATATGGCAATGCTATAGGGTGGCTAAAAGCTAAAAGTTTCAAATTTTATTTTTCTACACACATGGCTTATGATAAATTAATGGCTGTTGTTTAAACTTAATTGCTCATTTGGAACGTAGGATTTGAAAATTGTAGCAATAAGAAAATTATAGGATTAGAATACCACGTATGGACAAATCCTGCAGGAATTGAAAATATAGGAATCTAGCACATATCACGTTTGGACGGTTCACAAGAATATAACGCTAGGTATCTAATGGAATTAAGAGAGAAAAATAGATAAAGAGAGAAGAACAAGCATTGGACTTCTTAAAGGAAAAAAAAGGTTTGAGCTCTTGGTAAAATTTCCTATAGAATTAGTGCATAGGATGGTAATCCATATGAAACTGATATACTAAAAAATTCTGTTTCAAACAAAACATATAGAAAAAAGTTCCTAAGATTTAAAATCATTTGAATTTCCTTCAATCCAAAGTTGACTAAAAACTTTTAAAGACCAAAGTATGTCTTAAAAATATCAATTGCGGATGTCAGTGTAGGATCTGCCATGGAGATCGTAAGGTTCCAAGCACTAGTACCGATATTGCAACCATATGAGCAATCATTGAGTCTCCATTAATTTTTTCTGTCATATACTATCTCTATTATAAAATATAGCAACCTCTAAAAATACGAATCTGGACATGAAGATTTGTAGTCTAGGATAGGTCTTATCCCATCGTTTAAGTTGCTACATTCTAGAACGAAGGGAATATCTATTAGAAGGGGGCTATAGTTTTGTATAGTTTGTCGGTCCGTCTTATCCTATATACCTATACAAGTCATCCCCACTAAGTGCAATTAAAACTAATTTTTTGTTCTGAGAGTAAGCCACGTCACCTTGATTCATTCCAGCCATCGGATTGCACATAAACGTTTGGATAGCAATCAATCAATCAACTGGGGATAGCAATCAAAATAAACATTTAGCAACAACTAATTAAAGAGGCCCACCTAGCCATCTCTTAATTTCGAAACATACAGTTGGAATACCAACAGCAACACATGTAGTAGCCCAGCAGTTATAAGCTCTTTAATCTTCCATTGAAGTTATTTTATCTCCTGTAACCGGTGAATCAGATGAACAGTCGGTCTTCATGCCTTTATATACTCTCTATAATTCACTGGGACTTTGTTCTCGATTGATCATCTGTGCTTGGCAGTCTTTCCATGCATCTAGTTGATTTATTTGCCCACTCCTCTGCTCATGCTGATGCTTCAACAGATCAACATGCACAATCCGCTTTGGTCATCTCTCTCTTGCTTGCTTGCTCATGGATTTATTTTTCTTTTTCTTACTAATATCATTTGTTGTTTAGTTGTAGAATCTGAAGAGAAGAAAAGAAGTAGTAGTTTCAAATATTTCTTAACTTTCTGTTCTTTGTGAAGGTTGCAGATCTTATAGAGAGAATTGAAGGGTTGGTGCATTACTATATTCACATACCGGTTGAAATAATAAGAACAATTTTTTTTTCAGTTGGTTAAAATAAATAAGAATACCTTTTTGTTTCAGTAGGTTATTGACATCTTCGACTGAACTTTTGAAAGTTTCTACTTCATTAAAACTATAGTTTGGAATAAGCAATTACATAGCATCTTTGTGTAATCACGATGACGTATATTGTCTACCATTTTTCTGTCTTGCTACATAGCATAGAACAATCTATGTTAGTTTTTTTTTTGTAATAATAGAACAATCTATGTTAGTACCATTCAATTTATTGCATCTGTGTTCAATTGGCCTTAGTTCTAGTAAAAGGAATTGGCCTTTCACTAGACAATCAGCGTATTCTGTTATGATTCAAATTTCAGTTGCTTATTATTATAACATTGGTGAAGTGTTCAGTGTATAACAATACAATCATTCATACCTAATTTTTTATCTTTATATTACTCTTGTATTTCCGCAGCAACGCGCGGGGTGTCATCTAGTTAGATATTCTTGGATCCGCTCGTAACTGCGTTTGAATTGATGATGGAAGTTTCAAAGTACTAGTGTTATGGATCAGATCATTAACATGTATTAACCCATATTGGTACACTCGTGCACACACGATGGGCCCTGTCTTAAACTATGCGACCAGGATGTATCAAGACAAGCAGTTAGCTTAACCACTAAGCTTAGCTTTGAACTCATCGATGGCGATGAGAACTTCAAGTCTTCGGTCGTCAAGTCACACTCAAGAGTCTCACGTTATACGACAGAAAACACGCTTTCAAACATGGAAAACCTCCATCTCCCCTCGGGCACTCGAAACACACCAAAAACTCCCAAATTCCCCCTACTTCAAACGCGTCGATACCCAAAGAGAGAAAAATAAAGAGGGGAAATTCAAAACCTCCCCCAAAACCCTCGCCCCACCGCCGCCGCCCCCGCCGCCATGGACAGGGCACCGCCGCGCGGCGCCCCGCGCGACGCCGTCGGCCAGCGGTGGCTCGCCGTCTTCGTCTTCCAGGCCGCGCTCTCAGCCGCGGCCTCCGCGCTCTACCTCGCCGCGTCCCCGCGCCGCCGCCACGCCCGCCTCGGCGTGCCCCGGGGCCTCCTCCTCGCGCTCCACCCGTTCCTCTCCCTGGCCGCCACGGGGCTCCTCGCGCTCGCCTTCCTCGTCTCCGCGTCGCCCCACCCGCGCGCTCCCCCCGTGCCGCGCCGCGCCCTCGCGGCGTCCCTCCTCGCCGCCGCCGGGGCGCTCTGCGTGGGCGCCGCCGCGTCGCTGGTACCCGAGGACTCCGGGTGGGCGGCTGTTGCTGGGATGGAGTTCCGCGGCGCTGTGTTGGGAGCCGTGTTCGCCGCGCACTATTTCGGGCGTCGGAGGTGGTTGCTCCAGTTCCCCGTTGTGCAGGTCAGTGAAGTGGGGAAAAGTAGGGTTCTCATCTAGAATGGCGTTCCGAATCTTATCAAATTGCCAAATGGCTGTAGCTCCTAATAGAGGTATTGCGACTATAGAGATCGGAATTTTAGGTTTAAAGTTAGCTTGTTACGATTTTAGATTACCTACTTAGGTATGATTGATGGTGCTGGTGATTTTTTGTTATTGAATCTAAGCATGGATGTTTTTGATAACTGTGGCTTGTATTATTGGTATGTTGGGTCTAAGATTCTTTGTGATTTGTTCCGAGTTTAACTGGTTCCCACTTCCCACTAGAGAGCTTCATGAATTGATCAAATGATTAGGGAATAGCTGCTAGCACCTCTGTAATATTCAGGTTGATATACATTGGACATACATGTGCTATTCTCAGATGAGAAATTTGATTATCATGTTTGATAAGACACTATAGCGCTGTTTTATAATTCTCCAGAATATACGATATTCAGAATCCACATGCATGAGCTGTAGTTTGCTTTGATAGTTATTGATAGAGAAGTTTTTATCCATCTAGATCTTTTTTGGGGAGACATGGTTTATATTGATCTAAATTATATGTGCAATTCTCTGATATCTATAGCTCTGTTTGGTTAATTTTTTTGCCCTTGCGATTTTTTAGGCTTGCATGTTGTTTACTTGCAATCCTTCAGCACTTCCCACCAATTTTGCCAATTGTCTTACTTGCTTTCTTAATTTGTTTTTTGTCCAGCGACCTCCGTTCTATGGTTTGAAAATGGGGCTTCTGCCATCTGGAAAAAGGGCTCTGAAGGTGTCACTTCAGGCCTTCTTCCTTTCCTTTATCTTGATTTTCGTTCTTCCTCAGCAATTCAGAATCAGAGGATCCATTGGAAGCCAAATTATCGCCCAAATCGGTATTTTTATAATGAGCACTGCCGTTGCCTTCTGTTGGGAAATAAGTCATCATTTTGTCCAGGTTTGTTCTTCACAATCCAACTTCAAAGGAAAAAAGATGTTATATGATGTACTTGTTGTATTGCCTGGAATGCGGAGATTGACGTCATTTCCTGAAACTTTATAGTTCATAACCATAATTCAACTGCTTTCAACAAATTTCAGGTTGTGCATACAAGAAGGTGCAGTTTCGCTCCACCACAGAGCACTGCTGCTGCAGAGACTAATCCTACTGAGTATATCCTAGAAACATTGGAACTGAGTGATCCAAGATCACTAATGCAGTATCTTGCATACCAAGATTTGTGTGCTGTATCTGAATGTAACTTAGAACCATGGCGTCGAGCGGCCTTCTTTGAGGAATCTGGTGAGACTTACAAAAGAATTGTGACAGCTTGTTTGAAGCCGCTTGAGGAGTTCACGTCAAAAATTGCTGAAGCTCTTGAAGGGTTTTCTAGTGAGAAACCAGAATTGTTGTCACAACAGTTCAAACTTGCTGCTGCATTTAATGATTCACAGGTAAGTTACTCATCAGTTTCTTCTATCTGTTTTACCTCTTATGTTGTGTTCGGCTGTTTTCCTGTTTTTTTTTCCAAATTGTTAATCATGTTTGCATTTGTGTTGATATAGAACATGAAATGGTTCCTTTGTTTAGGAGTTAAGACCAAAAACAGTTGGATCTTACTGTAGAATCAGTTCGGTGTTTACTGTTTGTTTTTTGCTTTGTCACTCATGACAGATTATCTAGAGTTGAATTAAATGTACGTACTATAATCTTAACTGCACCACATTGGTTAGTGATACACATACATAATGACTAGATCTGCATCCAGGAAGATCTGCTTGTAAAGGTTAGTATCATAGTTTGAAGTGTTCAGACTTCAGACATCTTAGGAGTTCATTTTGAGATTGATAGCTTGTGAGTGCTGATGTCTACTTTATTTATAACCAGTCTAATTTGTGGCAACACATTTAGTTCTAGTGGATGATAATTGGATATTTAGTGAGTGTTAACTATCATCATGTGAGATTGTGGTCTCTAAAAAAAATTGCCCAGCACTGCAACAGACAATAGCATATGCACTCTCCTGCAGCAATTTTGGACATTTGGGCGTGTGGGATGTCTTGGTATTACTGTCATACATTGGTCTCACGTGGATGTCCTGTATTCTATTTCATTGGTATAGTGGAAGTGAATAATCCATTTATGCTTCTTATTTTAGCTTTACAATTGAGCAAGTTTAAGTTTGGTGGTTTTGGTCTTTAGCAGGTGACCATTAACTTAGGAAGCATGTTTTGCTTCAGAAAACAGGCTAGTAATTGTGGTAGGAAGACATTGTTTTATTTGACAAAATCATAACAGTACCTTTGCAACTACTTCTGTAGTTGGAATATTTTTTGGTATTTACAACATAATTGAACATTTTGTCCGTTATGGCTAGAACACGTAGCACCCTGACTATGGCTGAAATGGAGGCTGCCAGCAGGTATGTTGGGTTGCTATCTGGAACCATGCAAAATAGCATTCCATTTGTTAGCTGCTCCAGCTTTTTCTGTATGTTGGGTCAATTAGGTCATGCTTTACCCATATTTTTAGTTTAGCATCAGATGGCCGTTCATACAGATTATAAACTCCCTCCTGTCAAGAAACTAGACCGTTTGGAGATTATCGTTTTGTTCACAAAAGCAAGACATCTGGAAAGATTTGGGGTCATTTGGCCACCTATGCCCCTTATTAAATGACTTTATGCATGCTAAGTTGAAATTTCTAGAGGAAGTTAATTGCGACAGTATTATGACAAGTCACTGATTAATCATTCCTTGGTAGATGCAAACAAGCCCCAAACATTTTCCTTTGCTGACTGAAGGGAGTATTGTTTCCACAAATTTGTGATTTTGGTAGCATTCCGAATGGTTGAATTGTCAACAGTGTTGACCACGTCCAGACTAGTTCCTCAAATGTTTCTATGTTTGATAATTCCTGATGAAAAGTTAATGTGTGGCTTGTTACATGTAGATATGCACATGGTGCGCTCGGACATTGTCATCTTTAACTGCACGGTCACGCCAAGAAGATCGGTATGGAGTTGCTCAACTCACAGGCTGCAATGCTGCTGTGATGTCTACTTTGCTGTCTGCGCTAGTTGCCGTTGAGGCCTGTTTGGGGAAGAAAACTAACCCACAACCTGCGCACTCACTGGGTCCAGCAAGCATTAAGTGGGCTAACTTTTCCACCGGGAGAAAAGGCAATGTAACTGCCATTGCAAGCACGCAAAGAGGTGGTCTTCACACTAAAGCTTTTTCCATGGCCGATGTTATTCGAACTTCGATCTATCAGATGGTTTCAGCCTTTGAGCATGACATGCGGGCAAATGCTAAAGCATCAAGTTTGGAGAAGAACTGGATCAGTGAAGGAAGAAAACCTGTATTTGGTTCACAGGCTGTGTTGGTTCAGAAGCTGAGCCTGTTTATTGAGTACCGTGCTGTCTGAACTTGGCATCCTGTACCAAATCCTTACCGGCCATTTAAATTATTCTTGGATGAAGGTTATTTCGTTTTGGATTTGGATGGGAGAGTTTGTTTGACTATGAATCTTTCGAACAGATTATGACTCTCATTCAGGTTCAGGGGGCCAATATTTTATATCAAGAACGACTTGGATAGTGGCATTTTCTGCTCATAATCGTCAGGATGTAAGAAAGACATGAATTGTTATACCTATGGAGAGCTTTTCAAAAGATAATTACATTTCTCCACTGGGAAAAAGCCACGCTGGTTTTGAAAAACTATGCCGGTGAACCTGCTGTATACTACTTTTCATTTTCTCACCCTGGAGTTGTAATCTGTATGTTGTCATGGGAGAAGGAAACCAGAGCTGTGCTGAACTCAATAGGCTTATTGGAATTTTCGTTCTCACAATGTAACTTGTTTGTTAGTCTTACCCACTTAACAGCTTCACCTGAAGTTCTAGTCAAATTCTAATGCTTTCATTGATTTACGTGATGTTGTCGCCTAATCTTACATTTTCATTTTGGGTTACTTGTTACAGCTTTGAGCCATTTGAAATTTGAGTTGGCAAAACTCCCTTGTGCTTTTTCTATGACAGTTTCATGATTTCATCTTGGATCAAAACTCAGAAGGCACATCCTGGAAGAGGCGTACTTTCTAATTGAGCATTCTAACTATCCACCTCATCAATCGTGGATTTATGTTACAACAAGCTCACCCAACAAATTACCACGGACAGTGGAAATGGACCACCAAACAGCGAAAATGCCGGTCATTCAGAGTACTTATGTACAGACGGGTAAACACGTTGCTTCGACTGCAACTATCACCAAACTTTCTACTACCTAGTTAACGACGAGAAACTTAGCTGCCACCCCCTCCGGCCTCGCCGGCGCGGCCAGCGGCGGCCGCCTCGGCGAGGCGGCGAGCATCGAGAGGGCGGCCCTCGCGGTCGCCTTCTTGGCGCCGGCGACGACGGCCTTGGGGCAATGCCGGCGCGGCGACAGGACGCGCCCGCGGTGCGCGTCCAGGCCTCCCCCGCAGCTCTGCGACGGCTTGAGGCGCTTCCTCGGCGGCTTCGCCAGGTCCTCCAGCGAGGCGACCGCCGCCAGCGACGCGAACGACTGCGACTTTCCGTCGAAGAACCTCGACAACCCCCTCCTGCAAACGAAAAAAATGAAAAAAAAAAACACTCCGGTGTCAGCTCAGCTAGCTCAAGGATCATCAAAGATCAAGAAGAACGCGACCAGCTAGAGCAAACGGCACGCACTTGAACGGGAGCTGCGTCATGAGGTCGGACATCTCGAAGCGGCGCTCCGCCGAGCTGGAGGAGGAGGAGGAGCTCGCGTCGTCGGCGAGCTCCGAGGACGACCCCGACGACCGCGCCGAGCTCCCCGCCGACGTGGACGGCGACCCGATATCCTCCTCCTGCTCCTCGCAATCCGCCGCGCCGCCGCGCCGGCACCACGCGTACGCGTCCATGTATATATCCCCAACTCTTGACTCTCCCCGACCAACGCCGATCTCAGATCAAGGCAAGCGAACGCAGCTCAGATCGATCAAAGCAACAACCGAGCCGTGTCGTCGTCGACTGGTGGAAAGAAGGCAGCTGGTACAAATTATAAAGGTGTGGAGGAGGAGGAGGAGACCGTGGCCGTGGTGGCGAGGTGAGTCACTGCTGGCAGAGGAGGATAAGAACGAGCGAGAACTGAAGTAGTAGCGGAGAGCGTACGCGAGGCGAGCGGATGAGATAAAAGAAGAAAAAAAACACCGGTCGTTTATTTGTTTATCGCGTGTGCGGCGCGGTAGGGAAGGGAAGGAGTAAAAACTAAAAAATAGATTCGGCGTTATCGCTTTTCTTTTGGGTTTTTTATCCGCTGGGTTCGGCGTTCGAATTCTTGCTCTCCGTTTTTTTTTTCTTTTTCCGGAGAACGGGGGGAGGGGGAGAGAGTGGATAAGGCCTCCACATGCGTATACGTGTGTTCCCGCGCGCGCGGGCGCATCGGAGGCCACACGCGACGCGATGCTGCTGCGTGCGGCTGAGGCTATAGGCTAGCGGAGTGGAGTAGTAGTAGCGAGTGGGCGTTGCTTGTGATTGGGGGAAACGGAGGAGGGCCACACGCTTTACAGCCACATCTTTTTAACCTAAGCTAATGCTTAGTACTCCTATCAGTTAAAATTTTTTTTTAACCAATTTAAGGTTATTTTATCGAAATTTACTTTCTAAATTTTTTGCTTTTAGATTCTTAAGAACAATACGTAAATGTTTATTCATAAATTATTTTTAATTTTCTTTTGTAAATACTACCTCCGTCCCAAAATAAGTGCAGCCGTGAATATCCGTGCCCAACATTTGACCGTCCGTCTTATTTAAAAAATTTATGAAAAATTTAAAAATATTTAGTCAAACATAAAATACTATTCATATTTTATCATCTAATAGCAATAAAAATACTAATCATAAAAAAAATTTAAATAAGACAAACGGTAAACGTGAATAGTGTAAAACCGTATTTATTTTGGAACGGAGGGAGTATGTTATTTTGTTTATTCATGTATAAACCAAACAATGGTGCCATTAATTCCCGCCTGCGCCACGCGGGTTTGTGCAGTCCACCTGCTACGGATTTTACTTGGATAGTGCGGGCTGTGCGGCTACTACTACAAATGTGTGTTTCGATTTACCTTGCGCGCGTGGCGTTCCCATCTTGTTCTTCCGCTGTTGCTCGTATAGTGGAGTGGACTGCTCGTACTTGTGGAGTACTGCTCTCTTATATTTAAAGGATATATCTTAAAATGTGTATGAGCTTTGCCCTAAAGCCCATTACAAAAATTTGATTATCAAACAAACTAAACGCACAACGAGCAACGGCATGTGTTCATTAATCATTATGTTAGTACTTTTTAGCTAGAAGCCTAGAACCGCATCAAAGTGGCAAGATGGCTTTAGCCTTTAGTTGTCCAACAGCAGTAGTATCGATGGTACGTAAGCTTAATAGGACAAAGACAGACCATATGTGGCATCCATTTCCTTTTGTCTAAAATATGTCCCCTTTTGCTAAAGAACAAATGTACATTTGCAACCTTTCTCAAAACATAATTAAAAAAATGCATGCTATTTGTCATTGTATGATGGAATATGCCAGATCCGGTAATCTGCGACTATTATAAGTGTGGAACAAACAACTTGCTACTCCTTTGCACCACTGTTACCCTCCTGACAGTGAAAGAAACACAAAGAAAGCTGCAGCTAGCTGAGATGAGACTGTCTCTAATTTAAGAAGAGATTATTGACATAGTCTCCAAAAAAAAGAGTTAAATGAGGATGATTCTCTGTGTACTTATCGCGCTTCATTACGAGATGCCGATTGTGCAAAGCTGACTCAGCTGACCTGGTAATTGCCCCCCTGACCACTAACTCGTGGTCCAATCTTCACTTTTGGTCTTCGTTGTATATCCTTTCAACAATATGGGGTACTTATCCTTTCCTACGACTTGAATTTATAAGCTATATGGTGATGGTTACATTGGGTATGAAATGGATATGATAATGAAAGTTGGCTCTATAATGAGTCCATGGTTTTGTTTGGAGGTGAGGTGTGAATACACTAAGTTTTTTACTTTCTCCGCTTCATATTATAAGAATTTATAACATTACCCACATTCATATATATATTAATAAATCTAGACATATATTTGTGTCTAGATTTATTAACATCTATATGAAGGTGGACAATGCTAGAAAGTCTTATAAACTAAAACGGAGGTAGTAGCTTCTAACTTCTAATTCATTTTCTTAATTTTATAATTACATCTTTACTCCTTTAAATGTATCTTATGGTTGTGCTGGTGAGTCTGTCTCACCACCACCACCCAATATTTGGCCCCACATAAATAGTATTCTTAAAATCTTGAGGATTTATATTAGGAGTCGGAAATTCTAAAACAAGTAGAGCCGCTATGGCAAGGGGGAAAAATGTACTACTGGTAGAGTCTACTTGTGATTAATTAAAGTAGGAAAGCAGGATTAGTGCGCTAATCGATTAAGTCTTATCCGCCGCTAAGTCAACAGAGTACTACACTACTAATGAACTTGCCTGTGATAACAAAGGTACGAATCCATTCGTTCGTTCTCCTAGTCACACACAAGAGGTAGTATAAGAAAGGCGAAAGCAAGTCCTTTTTTTGCGACAGGGTTGTAATCTTCGGGCCCAAACCCGGGAATGCCATCATTCTGATTTCTGGGGGGCAACATTGACGACACCATGACGGGTTAATTAGGTAATAAAATAAACTCGAGGAGTTCGCAAGCGAAAGCATCGATCAGAAGACGATGACAATTTATTTACCCTTTGCCTGACGGTAATCAACGCCGATCAACTGTAGTATACTGAAAAAAATAGAGAGAACATTTTGACACCCAACGCGCGGGAACAAATCGAAATGAAGTAGTATGAAACTGTGCAGCACTCACGGACCAATCACCAATTTGAGTCTCCGCGAGAAACAAACAATCACCAATTTGAAGATTTGTGTATTTTGGATGGATTTCGGGCATGGTGCAGCGAGCCAAGCTGTTTTTAGGGTGGGCGCTTGGGCCGTACTGCACATTTCATACATACGGGCCAGGCTGAAAAGGCAAGCCTAGTTCTGGGCTGAAACAAGCCCACCATTGCTTGCAACAAATTCAGCTCAACATCTCAGAACAAAGAACGTTCATATTTCAAAATCCGAATCACTCCAGCAACGAAATGAGAAATACAGGAGACAAATTTAATTTTCGCAAGGATTAGAATCACATCATTTCATCTACGGAAATGAGCAAGACTGACAAGTGAGTGAGTGACAACATGGAGTAATAAACCGAGTTTCTAAGCATCAAACTGAAGATTGTGTGGGCTTGTGGCAATTTATTTGCCTTCAGCTAACAGTAGCAACACCAACCAAGCATGGTAAATACGTACGTTTTGACTGCCATTTCCCACAAACAAATCAGCACGAAATCACATTAGCATTCAAGAACCAATCGCCAATTCGAAACTTTGTTGTGTTTTTTTTCTGCAGCATAGTTCGAACTTCGTATACAGAGATACTACCACTATTCTGTTGCTTTTAGATGATTCTCTCAACTACTGTACGTGCTTCAACAACAGCTTACCCCTTGTTGCAAATTCAGATCAGCATTCACATCTCAAATCACAGCAGCAACGGGATCAGAAATGCAGGAAACAAATAATTTTGCTACGATTGAAATCGTAATGTCATTACATCTATGGAAATGAGCAAATCACAACCAGGAGTTGGGATACTACTAATCCTACTACTAAAAACCCACCCGTGGCACATCCGGGTCTCTCTACACCAGCAAAGCAAAAGGACACAACAAGAGCTAAAACACCAGCAACAGCCAGTCCAGGAGGCGGCGGCGGCAGAGGCGGCCAGCGCGAGGGCGAGGGAGGACCGGAGGGCTCAGCCGCCGAAGCCGTAGAGGGTGCGGCCCTGGCGCTTGAGCGCGTAGACGACGTCCATGGCGGTGACGGTCTTGCGGCGGGCGTGCTCCGTGTAGGTGACGGCGTCGCGGATGACGTTCTCGAGGAAGATCTTGAGCACGCCGCGGGTCTCCTCGTAGATGAGCCCGGAGATGCGCTTCACGCCCCCCCTCCTCGCCAGCCTCCGGATCGCCGGCTTGGTGATCCCCTGGATGTTGTCGCGGAGCACCTTGCGGTGGCGCTTCGCCCCGCCCTTGCCCAGCCCCTTGCCTCCCTTGCCGCGCCCAGACATCGCCGGAGACCGAGACGAGACCGAGACGAATCCGAGATGGAAGAAGAGAGAAGTCTACTACTTGGGGAGATCTGAAATCGCTGTGGCTCTTGGTGAGATGGATTTGGATTTGGGGGTGGTTTTATAGAATTTTGGGGGGATTTTGAGTTTGTGTTTGGGCGGGAGAATTTTTGGGGATAGATTTGCGCTTTTGGTGGGTGGGTTTGGGACGTTGGATTGGTGGTGGACGGGCGCGATGGGTTGGGGTGTGTTTCCGTGGATTGATGACGTGGTGGGAGGCGCGGGGATGGATCCGTGGGTGGGGGGAGGATTGCCGTTGGATTGAATCGGATGGTGGGGAAGCTCGTCGTTGCGAGTGGAGCGGATCGGTGACGTGGCAATGGTTCTGTGGCCAGGCGAGGAACGTGGGCTGGGCCGGGCCGCCGGTTTTAGCTCGGTCTCCTGATCAGTCACGAGGCCCGTAGCGTCAAGTCACCGGCCCACCACCACCGTCCGGCGAATAAACCCGCCGCCTCTCGTTTCGCCGCCGCCGCCGTCGTCGCCGTCGCCGTCGCCATCTCCAGGTGGGTGCTATAGCGATAGGCTATGGCTTTCGCGCCGTCCGCGCGGAGGGTCTCGGCCGTGCTGTACCACTACCCGTGCCCGGACGGCGCGTTCGCGGCGCTCGCCGCGCACCTCTACTTCTCCGCCGCCGCGCTCCCCGTCTGCTTCTTCCCCAACACCGTCTACGACCCCATCAGGTAAATCTTCTGTAACTTAAGAGATCGACCTTTGGGCCTTCGAACTACTAGTTTCTGCTTCCAATGTTCTTCTCCTCCATAGGTTCGTTTGAAGAGATGTGAAATCGGCAGGAAGCTGCAAGCGAGTACAACTCTTCCTTTACAATGTCTAACTGTAGTTTCAGTTCGTTTAGACCGACCAACATCTGTGGAGCTGCTCAATGTTCACTTTGGCATTGCTTTGCGCTTATTAAGCTTTCCCTTTGTATTTTAGTGGGAGAAAATTGCATCTAGTTGGCATTCTGACAAGTCCCTTTTTGGAGGGGAAAGATTATGCTTTGGGGTTTCTATTCTGTAGTGACGTTTGGTATAGTCAGGCCTAGGTGAAATATACATTTTTTTCCCGGATTTCAATATTTCATGAATTATGAAAATGATGAATGGGAGGTCAAAATTGAACAAAGCTGTTTGATGATTTTGTCATGATATGAGCCTCTGCACAGCAGATACAGTGATGCTCAAGTGTTTCTCTTTACTATAGCATTATTCTTACTGTTACCCTCTCTGTAGGAGTGATGCTCTTCCATTTGATGAAATCAAAGATGTTTATCTCCTAGACTTTGTCGGGCCTCCTGGTTTTGTCACTGATATTGCCCCAAAAGTCGAGAGGTTTGTAAGCATTTATCTACTGCTATTTGCTTTAAGTTTTGTTCTGTGTGTGTTAGTTTCATGTGCATTATGCTGTTAATCTTGGATTCTTAGAAATAAGATTCAGCCTATGTTCATTCTGTCATTCATTTAATATACAGATTCGATTTCCGTACACTTCATGAGTAGATTCAGTATATTCTGTAAAATATTTTGGGGAAACACATTGTGGCCATCAACTGTTCTGAATATTGCTGAACTGTAGATTGTAGAAGTTATGCATCAATATTTCTATACATTCTGAATTGTTTTGTAGAATATTCTATCCCTAATGCTAGGACAATTCTAATGTTTTTATCTTGTTCAGTGTCACAATCTTGGATCATCATAAAACTGCCTTTGAAAGTTTATGCGGGAACCCCACACTCGGAGAAAATGTCAATAAGGTGATTGACATGCAACGCAGTGGAGCAACAATCGCATTTGATTTCTTTAGCAACAAACTCTTGACAATAGGTAGTAGTTTATGGAATCATAGAAGTGGCAATTCTTTTAATGGGGTGAAATATCTACCTGATAACAAGCTTGAAACCGTACACAAGCTTTTCAAGTTTATAGAGGATGGGGATCTGTGGAGATGGACCATTCCGAATAGCAAGGCCTTCAGCAGTGGCCTGAAAGATTTGGACATTGAGTTTGATGTCAATATCAACAGAAAGTTGTTTGATCAGGCAAGTAACTTGGTACTAGTGTTCTGCTACAGTAGCATATCCTCATTAAAAATTCATGGTACAAATCTAGCACCACCACTTTTGCATCACTAAACCTATATATTGCTAGCCTAATTGTTGGTTAAAAACAAAGTCTAGATCTTAAAATACATTAGTGCCTTCTATACTTGGACAGAATGATTATTGATGTTGTCCTACTATACGAGAGCTGTTACAAAACATTGAAATCACCGAGCTAGCCATCATACCAAAATGCTTTTTCATCCAAAGCTTGTATTGTTTTGGTCCAATAACTTCCTGTGAAGTGGTATTGTTGCAGTTACTGGAACTGGATCCTGAGGAAGTCATTTCTCGTGGACAAGCAACATTGTCACACAAGCAAAAATTAATTGATGAATGTCTGGAGAAATCCTATGAAATTGCATTAGGATGTGGCAGGTTCGGTAATTGTCTGGTAAATACCTGCAGGTTTTCCTTTTCTCTTGATTATTTTGTATGTTCATTAATATTCTATTCATGTTTTGTCAACATTCTATTATGTGAAGGTGAATCGTCCCTACATTCGTCTATAAATTCTGTTATACTACTTGTTTGATGGGGCTGTTGTTGCAATTTATGATGGTCCATGAGCTATATGTTTGATCCAAATTAGCACATTTCCAGTAAACTGGATCAGTAGCTATATTTCGTGACCAGGGATTAAAATTTGACATATTACAAGAAAAAATCCTGTGGTCTTTTTTGGTACACGTAGCTTTCCAGTTCCAGGTTCTGGAACCATCTGGTGTGCAACTCCACTATCCTTACATAACCAGGACGTATCTTTTTTCCATTAGTTCTGCATGTTTTTTTTATTTGTGCAATCATTCCCACCTGAATTTCAAGATAGCTTACTTATGGTAGCTTTATGGTTCGCCGCCATCGAATTTGAGGTTCTCTTATTATAGCTTAATACTTTACTGATGCAGAGGCATGCAACCATTCCTACAGCCTAATGTCTCAGTATCCGTAATACTTTTTACTCTCTTTGTTTGCATTTTACCAACATTACAGGCTCTGCTGAATTATATTTTTATTGACCCTTAGGCTGTCAACGCTGATGCAATTTCAAATTTGAGAAGCGAACTTGGAAATCAGCTAGCTGACAAGAGTCGTAATTTAAATCTGAGGCAAGTTTTCTGTTCAACCTCTCCATGTTGATGAACAATCCATATTGTTTCTTCAAAGCGCTATGTTGTTCTAACACGAACCAATGGTACCTTCTCCAGAAGTATTGGCGCTGTAGTGTACAAAGTACCTGAGTTGAATAATGACAATATGCTGAAAATAAGTCTTAGAAGTTTGAACGAGGAAGACACTACTTCTATCTCTAAGGTACTTCATCCTCCGATCAAATCTATAAGGCTGTAAAGTAGCATCTGAAAATGATCTATTTTAAGGCTGTTGATTTGTTGGCGTTTGACTCTTTTTGTAGGAATACGGTGGTGGGGGGCATCGGAATGCAAGCTCATTTTTGTTGAGCGTTACTGAGTTCGACAGGTGGAAGGTTGGAGCTGAACCTTGCAACACTAAAATGTAAGAACTTCATCAACAAATTGAATGGTTCATAAAGAAGGAAATGCAGGATGTTACACAAAAGCACAAAATGGAAAAAACATCAAGTCCTAGGCCCTGTTCTTTTGTTTTCTTAGCTAGGACCAGCCGTGTCTAGCTATCTAGGCACATGCACATCCGGTCAGTGGCGTGCCTGTGGTTCATGAACATGAGCCCCCAGTATCATTGTAAGAAAAAAAAAACTGTCAGGGTCGTTTTGAACATTTTTGTTGGAGAAGCCAATTGTTAGGGACTGACTAGGCGTTGATCGGCTGATCGCTATTAAAGGTGTTTTGAACGATTAGTTGTCACAAGCAAGTACTCCCTCTATCAAAAAAAAATTAAGCTAGGAGATCCTAGTAGAACGAATTTGTATTAGGAGAAATCTCCTAGGTTGAGTTTTTTTTAAGACGGAGGGAGTAGACCGGATGCGACGGTATGATTCATGACATGAACTGAGCATGAAGGGAACAGGCTTGGGGCATGATCGGATGGCTCATAGGGCGTTCAAAGTGCAAGGACGTGGCCTTCAGCCCCATAGAAAAAAACGAATATTCAGCGCCACATCAGCGGTACGCGAAGCCAAACGAGGTTCTCGTAGCCAAACATGGATGCTCGTTCTTCGTTCGTCGAACGACTTGCGGAGGGCGAAGAAAGGGTGAACTGCCGCGTTGTGGAGGGCGGAGCCTCGCGGGCGTGGCTTCGCATCAGCGAGGGAAATAACCCCCCTTTCCCGCGCTCACCTCACCAGAGAGAGGAGCGGCGCCGCCAACGGGGAGAGAGGAGAGCGTCGCGGGGCTCATCGCGGCCCCCGCCTTTGCGACGGCCTCCGCTGGCTACCCCTCGATCTGCGCCCACTGGAGTTTGTCGGCCACGCTGCCCCGACCGCGATAACCTGCGCTTGCTGCCGGCCGCACCGCCCCTCGATCTGCACCCGCCGGAGCTCGCCGGCCACGCCGCCCCCCGATCCGCGACGACCTCCGCTTGCTGTCGGTCGCGCCGCCCCTCGATCTGCACCCGCCGCAGCTCATCGGCCACACCGCCCCTCGATCCGCGACGACCTCCGCTCACTGCTGGCCGCGCTACCCCTTGATCCGCGGTGGTCGAAAGAAGAGGGGAGGTGCTCGAGCCACCCCGCTGCCCAGACGCCGTTGAGCTCCCGTCGTCCTCTGCTATCGCGCCGCCGAGCTCCCGCAGTCCCCCACTACTGCGCCGCCGACCTTGCCGTTGTTGCACCGGCAAGCGCCAAGCCCTGCCGCTGCTCTGCCCGGTGATGTCGCTGCTTGGGCCGCTTGGGCCGCTCGGGCCGTCGCCATCTCCGCCCGGCATGCTCTCTGCTGTGGGAATTTTTTTTATTTATAATTTTTCTTATTAAAAGTTTTACAAAAATAATTTTCCATTTTGAAAATTGACGGAAATAGTCGCCTACCGCCCTCTGGGAGGGCGATTTTTAAAAATCGCCCTCCCAGAGGGCGGCGAAAATGACGTGGCAGACGGCCGTTCGCTCTCGGGCGACGGCCGTCAACGAAATTTGCAGGCGGCCCCCTTGCCGCCCTCCGCGAGGGCGATTTTGTACTGTGCGGGGGGCCGCCTGCAAATGGGCGGCGAGGGGGGGCATGGAAATTTGCAGGCGGCCCCCTTGCCGCCCTCCGCGAGGGCGATTTTGCACTGTGCGGGGGGCCGCCTGCAAATGGGCGGCGAGGGGGCATGGAATTTTGCAGGCGGCCCCCTTGCCGCCCTGGGGGAGGGCGATTTTTGCCTCCCCCCTATAAAGCCCAGCCCCTCCCCTATGAAATTTCATTATATTCACTAAAAATCCAAAAAAAACGAAAGAGAGAGAGAGGGGAGGGCAGCAGAAGGGGAGCGGCGAAGCCCTGCTGGTTCGCTCACTTCATCACAGGTATGCTCCCATACATCTTTTGCATTTGTACTAATATATTACGTTTGAGTACATATGTTGCGTTTTAGTTTTAGTTCCATATATTTTAGCAGATCTGTAGCACACAGCACATATGTGTAGATCCAGAGCATAGAATATAATAGTATGAATTGAGACATAGACAGTAGTGTTAATTGTAAGATGTAGTTTAGTTTGATCTGGAGAATGTAACCTACTTTTAGAAATTTAGAGAACAATATTGTAGAGAATGTAACTTAGGGCGTAGTACAGAAATGCGAGGTTAACGCAGTTATTGTTTTCATCAGGCACAATGTCAAGTAAGGTCACATTTCAGATAGTTCACGGTGAAGGAAATATTAGATTTGGTCCAGATGGTGTTGATCTGTCAGATTTTGTAATGACATCTAAGGGCATCGATAGGCCTGCGGAGAGAACATTTCAGTCAATTTATAGTTGGTTGTTGAGAGGATTTAGAATAGACCAAGAAGTCTACACAATGTCAGTATCTGTTGTAGTGAGTCGTGCAATAGAAGGTTATTTTTGGGAACTAATGCCGATGGACAGCACTGCTGCTTGGAAACGGTATGTGGAAATGGCTTTTGAACGGTCATGGCCCCTCGTTATATTTGTGTCGGTACAAGAGAAAGATACAAATGTTTCAATGCAAACCGAAGATGTGGAGGGTCCTAGCAATGCAGGGGATGTTGTTGGACCATCGATGCAAAATGAGGAAAATCAACCAAGGGAGGAGCAGGCCATGGGCATGGCGGATGAGGGGGAGAGAGTCGGTATAATTGTTGATGAAATGGAGAGGGAAGATTCGGATAATGAGCAAGCGGAGGACGACGCATCATCCGATGAGGAAGGTGATGTAATGGCCACTGATTGGGCAAATGAGGACTTCTCTGGTCTTGTTATATCAGAGGGTGATCATGTACCCTGGGAGTATAAGGAGTACGAGGTAATTGAGGGTGCAAGGTATGCTCATAAGGATGAGATGAAGGAGGCGGTGAAGCATTGGGCAGTTTCATTGCAGAGAGAGTTTAGGGTGGTCAAGTCAACAAATTATGTGTATGAAGTGAGGTGCATGAAGGAAGATTGTCCGTGGCGTGTCCATGCATATAAGGGTAAATGGAATGATTATTGGAAAGTTAGCATTGTGACCGAGCACAAGTGCTACTTACAAGGGGTGGAGAAGTATCACCGAAACATCACTTCAGCTTTTGTGGCAAGTGAGATGTACAGCAGTGTTGTTGGTAACATTGGCTTTGAACCAAAATCAATTATTAGGCACATCGAGAACAAATTCAAGTACACCATAAGCTATGCAAAGGCCTGGAGAGCCAAACAAAAGATCATTGAGATGAGGTATGGCACATTTGAAGCTTCTTATGATAATTTGCCTCGTTTGTTAGCCACCATTGCCCAGAGGAATAATAATACTTACTATGACCTACATACATTTACATCGGTTGAAGATAGAACAAAGAGTGTGCTGCAAAGAGCCTTTTTCTCATTGGGTGCTTGCATCAATGCTTTTGTGCATTGTCGACCTGTTCTATGCATAGATGGAACTTTTATGACAGGTAAATACCGAGGTCAGATATTGACAGCAATTGGGTGTGATGGGAACAACCAGGTTCTACCTATGGCTTTTGCATTTGTAGAGAGTGAGAACACTGAAAGCTGGTACTGGTTCCTAGAGAGAGTGCACATTGCAGTGGTGCGTATGAGGCCCAACGTTTGCCTTATACATGATCGTCATGCGGGTATGTTGCGGGCTATTGACTACTTGCAGAACGGTTGGGATGAGAAGGGACTTCCAGCTAAGTGGCCTGATGTTCGGAGTCGGTGGTGCATGCGTCACATGGGTGCAAATTTCTACAAGCAATTCAAGAACAAGCATCTTATGGAGCTCTTTAAGAGGCTCTGTGCACAGAACCAAGAGAAGAAATTTAATGAGTTGTGGGACAAGTTGGATGAGTTGACAACGAAGCAAACAGATGAGCAATCTCGCAGACCACAAGTTGAAGGTGACGAGCCTCCCATACCTCTTGGTGCATTACATGATGACCCACCAACAATGAGAAGGAGGTCAGGGTCGGCCATCAGAAATTTCTCTCAGTGGATTGAGAATGAGCCTAAGGAGAAGTGGGCTCTATTGTTCGACACCGATGGATCTCGGTATGGCATAATGACAACCAATTTGGCAGAGGTGTACAACTGGGTAATGCGAGGAGTTCGGGTACTTCCATTGGTTGCTATTGTTGAATTCATCCTTCACGGCACGCAAGCCTACTTTAGGGATCGATACAAGAAAATTGGTCCGTCCATGGCCGATAACAACATAGTGTTTGGCAACGTAGTGACAAAGTACATGGAAGATAAAATCAAAAAGGCACGGAGACATAGAGTTGTTGCTCAAGGCACACAAGTGCATCGGTATGAAATAATGTGTGTTGATAGGAGCAGGCGTGGTATCTATCGCAAGCAAGCCGTGCAGGAATGTGTCTTGAAGGCGGATGGTGGATGTACCTGCAGTTGTATGAAGCCGAAGCTTCATCACCTTCCTTGCTCACACGTTCTTGCTGCTGCCGGTGATTGTGGCATATCTCCCAATGTGTACGTCTCAAATTATTTCAGGAAAGAAGCAATCTTTCATACATGGAGTGAGGAGATATATGGGTTCGGGATCTCAGGATCTTACACAACGCTGAGTGCCCAAGTTTTTTATATTTCAGATCCATCTAAGTTTAGGGTGAAAAAGGGTCGACGCCAAACTAGACGCATCAGAAATGATATGGATGAGTCAGAAGCAGGTAGGAGGACTTTACGCTGCAGCAAGTGTGATCTGCGCGGCCATACTTACAAGACATGCCCGAAGAATGCAGAAGTTCCAAGCGGCGCAGATGCTAGTCCATCTGGACAGGCAAGTGATGGTAGGCGACCACCTGGTGAAGGAACAACAAGCAGGCGCGCAAGGCCAAGGCGTCGTCGCGCAGCAGGCGATTCCATGGTGTAACAATGCTTTCGATTTAGGAAATAAAATGATGTAATGAGTGTTCGGACTAAATACTTCTATCGTGTAATTTCAATTCAATCTTGTTGTAATGAGTACCTCCGACTATTGTTGTACTAGTAGTATTGCGAACTATTCGGTGTTGTATCATAATGTTATCGTGATGAGTGTTCGGACTAAACACTTTTGTTTGTTTGTACTCTTGTTTAATATGTGTTAGTAATTCGCTTATGAACATTTATTACTTATGTTGAACTAATTATTTATATGTTTCTGATCAACCTATTTGATGCAGGTATGGCGTACGACACACCGGCACTGTTGAACCGTGGGATTGACAGGAACCACCGCTCGTTCCTGTCAGCAGTCGAGGGTGCACAGCTCGGCACCTT